GAGTGACACTGGCGGGACTGTTGATACAAGCGATGACGATCTTGCCTGCTGTGACGCGGCTGAGATACTCACTCACACGATCGGGACCAAGACCGACAGCTGCCATTGATCCAGTCTTGGTGATGTTGCCAGTGAGATGACCACGGAAGTATGCGATTCTCATCGCAGCCTCCTTGTCGAAAGCACCCTTGGCATAAGCAGCAGCAATCTCACCACTAGAATGACCAACAGTGACTTGAGGGTGGATACCCCAACTCGCAAGAAGATCAATGATGCTGAGCTGAAGAGCAGTGCACGAAGGTTGGCTGACGTAAGGAAGGTCAATGATAGACTCCTTCGCATCGCGGTTGAGCTCTTCGACAAGATCCCAGGTACTGCCGAAGTCTTTAAGGTACTGGCTGCATGCGTGGAGGGACTGCTGGAAGACGGGGTATTTCTGGAGTTCTCTGCCCATGGCGAACCATTGAGCTCCTTGGCCGGTGAAGATGAAGGTGAGGGCCTGAGATCGGGGAACGCGAGCGGCTTTTGTGGGTGCGCCATCGAGGGCTTGCTGGAGCTCTTCGATGGTTGAGGCAGCGGCGTAGGTCTTCCAGGGAAGAGAGGATCGCTTCTCAGAGAGGGTGTAGGCGAGACGGTGGAGGAATTGGTCCTCGGGAAGGTCGCGGGCTGCGGGCTCGGCGAGATAAGCTTGAAGAGTCTGGCTGAGACGCGCGATGCCGGACTCTTCGTGGGATGAGAGAAGGAAGAGGTGAGGTTTCTTGCCAGTCTTCTCAGCAGCATCTTGCGATCCGTTCTCAATCAAACCTGTAGTGAGAACACCTTCGACCTTGGTGTTGTGATGGCCCTTCAGGTTGTGAGTCTTGAGGAAGTGGTATGCATCATCCAAAACAGCATGGGCATTGGCACCACCGTAACCAAAACTGTTGATACTGGCTCGTCGCAGACCAGCAGGCCACTTGATCTCCTCAGTAGGAATGTTGATCTTCCACTCATCAAGCTTGATCTTCGGATTGACGTTCTCAAGCCCATGAATCGGGGAGATGACACCACTCTCAAGACTGTAAATCGTCTTGACAAGACCCGCAAGACCACTCGCACCCTCAAGATGCCCAATGTTACTCTTCACAGAGCCAACATAAACAGGCTTATCCCTTGTCTTACCAAACACATTGCCAATGACCGAGCACTCGATAGGATCACCGACCTTGGTGCCCGTTCCATGCGCCTCGAAGAAATTGGTCTTGTCGAAGCTCAGACCAGCTGAAGCATACGTTGCACGAATGAGCTCTTCCTGGCGCGAAGCAGAAGGTTGCGTGATGCCGAGGGTTCGTCCGTCCTGGTTACTACCCGTGCTTCGGAGGACGGCGCGGATGGTGTCACCGTCGGAAAGAGCCTTGTCGAGACGCTTGAGGACGACGAAGCCACCGCCTTCGGCGCGGGCGTAGCCGTTAGCCGAGGCGTCGAAGGAGTGGCATTTGTTGTCGGGGCTGAGGAAGGACATGGAGGACATGAAGACGCCGAAGTTGGGGAGGAGATGGAGACCGAGACCTCCGACGAGGGCCTGTTAAGTTAGAACCGATTCATGGTGGTGGTTGGTAGGGGGCTTACGGAGTCGCTTTCGCCGTTTCGGATGCTCTGACCTGCGAGGTGCAAGGCAGTCAATGTGGAAGAGCAAGCAGTATCGATGGTGACGCTGGGGCCCTTGAGGTTGAAGAACCACGAGATGCGATTTGAAAGAAGCGCTGGACCGGTACCGGTGGCGGTGTACTTGGGTGCGCTGTCCATGTCGTAGGCTTGAAGATCCCAGTAATCATGCTGGCATGCTCCGATGTAGCACGACATGTGTTGATTGGCGACCTCGTCGATCTTGAGACCAGCTACAGACCATTAGCTTCAGACCTCCCCAGAAGAGCCAGGCATCTTACCATTCTCGAGACCCTCGTAGGCCAGCTCAAGCAGAATTCTCTGCGTAGGATCCATACCCCTCGCCTCCTCAGGCGTGATAGAGAAGAATCCCGCATCAAACTTATCAACATCAATCTTCAAGAAATATCCCTGCTTGGTATTCAACGTCCCCGCCCTTCCACCATCAGGATGATAAAACCCATCAATGTTGAAACGGCTCTCAGGGACATCACTCAGCGCATTCCTCCCCTCCTTGAGAAGATCCCAAAGATGACGAGGCGAAGTCGCATCACCGGGAAATCTACCAGAGACTCCGATGACAGCAATAGCAGACGAGATGTCACCGTCTACCTGATGGAGGCTAGCATCGTGTTCAGCGCTACCATTGGGAGTGCCATTGTTAGCACCCCCGTTAGCAGCGTTGTGAAAGCCATTAGCGCTAGGATGAGCTCCATGGCCGTTGCTAGTGCCGTTTGCGCCGTTGGAGCCATTGGAGAGAGTCATTGTGAGAGGGAGAGAAAAGAGTCAGAAACAAAGGGTTGTGTGATGGGCGCTGGCTTGCTTTGGATTTGACTCTGAAGAAAGGATGATGGTTGACGGAAACACTAACCTGGAAACGAGTCGGCATCAGATATATGAACTAGAGCATTGTTATGATATGATACGACAGTTACAGTGTAAGCGCATTACGGCTCGGAGCTAGCTAGACCGGGCTAACAGAGCTTGAGTCTCATCGACTGAGTATTTCGTGCATCCGACTAAAGGCTCATGCACGTCTTCGGAAGATATTGACACTAAGATCGGAGGTTGCGTCAGCGTCGGCGCCGATGGAGTGACCCACTGTACCCTTGTCGGGCCGGGGCCGGAAAGTCCGCGACCAATGATAACGAGCCGGGGATGATAGAATTTTGAGTCGCCGTATTAGTCTTGCGTGATATTCGAGGCTCAAAAGGATCCGTATTTGCCTCAAAAGAATGAAGTTGCAAGATGAGACTTTTTTTCGTCGTCCATTCTCGTCGATACGACATCGGCCGGAGTCTACAATTCGCCTCTCGATACGATGTCTCTAAGGATAAGATGCACGAGCAATGTTGACATCTGACTTACAAATCCACTTGTTGAACCAAGTCGCAATATGCTGATGCGAAAGTCAGTCCACTAAAGGCTACTATCTCTCTACCAGTCACTTTATCTACATCGCTATAAGTGGCATATTTTGCTTTACCCATGAATGCGATGTCCTTGAAGATACATTTGTCGATGAGACCGGTACTATCCCCTCCAGGTAAGATCTAGCTATCTGGTATATAGGGAGTAGAGACATGTCACTTGGAGTTTAAAGTACATTGGCTTACTAGAGAAGATCCTTAATCACCTTTGTAATTAATGTCGGTTATTTCGGCAATTGTCTTATGCGCCCGTTCTTCTGAACCTTAACGCTGGCGAGGAAAGTCACGGCTTACCTGACTATTATGCCAACCTAGGTCTATACCAAAGCATTCTTGAGACCACACTTAATAGAATAATAGACAATAATGGATGGTGCCTTTAGAGAATTATACCCAATGCCGTGCTTTAATGTTGTTATTTTACCCAGGAAACTGGAGATATAGTGACTTGCCTCTGATAGAAGGGACGGGCATTAAGGTTCAAAGTTAATAGAATTAAGGTCAAAGCGAAAGGTCAAAGCAAAAGGCAATTAAGCTGAGTAAATGCAACTGCCGTGTTTATGATACGAGCTGCTTCTATTACTGCTATCTATAAATACAATAATAGTCCTGCCCTCTACTTTGCTTCTCGATATCCTCTCACCTCTTTGTCAATCAGTTTGCTTACAGATACCGCCCTCACTCTCATCAACATCATGAAGCCTGCAGCCATCCTTCTCGCCCTCACCAGTACAGCCTGTACAGTGTTGGCTGGCTTGCCCCGTTATGGTTCGTGATATCCAATTCCATTAAAGATGCTGCTGTTCTGACCGTGCCACTCACGCAGCGAAATGCACCAATCGTTCGCAGTGCAATTCCAATTATTGTGCCCCCATGAGAAATGCAAATTGTGACGAGGTCCCTAATTGCCACAGTAAGTACCAAGACTACACCGTGCCTCGGAGCTCAGAACAGGGACTGACTACTTGAAGATAGTGTATGCTATGGTGCATCAGTAGGCGGTAAGCTAATCATAGAATTCTGTCTTGCTGCTAGTATAGTACACTGACTGATATGTAGGTGCTTGTTCGAATGACTGGGAATGCCAGTCCAACCATTGCAAGGGTACGTACGACATTGCCCACTCTAAGCGAAATCTTTACTAACCCATCGCAGGAGGAAGATGTTTTGACTGCCAAGGCAAGCCTGGCTACCTCAATCTTGGCTGTACGTCTTTCTTTTGAAGTTTATCATTATGTTTGAAAGCTGACTGTATTTGTAAAAAAGCTTCCTGCAGTGGATTCGCAGATCAATGCTGCGAGTCGCAGTGTCGAGGTATGTTGGCAACACCTATTTCGGTCTAGATTGATCAAGGCTAACAAATATATAGCCAATGTCCAGGGGAATATGCAGTGCATTGATAACAACGTGGTCATGGACCAGGGCGGGCAGGGGCCGTTCCCGGTGCAGAATTAACCTTCTAGGCATTGATTCAACATAGTTGAGCTGTGTCAAGATACCTTGAGATAGGAGTCTATCTGGTAATGATTAGCAAGCTCCTATGAACCAAGTGGGGACGCGAATCCTTACCTCATCGGAAGTTTCGGACTTTGTCGCACTTCCGAAGTTCCAGGCTAGGGCGGTTAGCTTTCCAGCCAATCTAATACCGATCATTGTATATTAAACGTGGAACTCCATGTAGCTGGCCGAGAGTGCCCCGTCATGAGTTAATAAGAGTTCAATAACTTGCCATGTTCCCGGGATATCGTTCCCGAGAATGCCCCGTATTGAGATTGAGTCTGCGGATGGTGGAAGTGATCTTGGGACATAAGACCTCGTCTTCCTAGTTTGGGTTAGTATTCTCAAACCTAGGTACCATTTTTAAGAAAGCTATCAACTAGAAGACCACCAAGCATTCCTATTGTACCCCAATTGCCATTATTCACCATGTCGACTACCTCTCGAGTAAAGGAACAACCGTACTTTGTGACCGAAGACAAGCTGAAGTACCTGCCACCTTACCTGCAGGGAGTACCTGAGACTCCCAATGAGGTAGAATGCAAAACCTCTGGAGTTTGGCCTCACTGGGTCAATGGCACCTTTGTTCGGTTAGTCAATTGATCCTTCGCACGGTTCTTCAATGTTCAGATACGAGAGAGACTGCACGAGTAGCACGCGGGTTACACAAGTCCACAGCTAACCTGTTTTTACGTAGCATGGGGGTTGGCCACTTTGTCGTTCCTTTGTCCGAGGATGGCTCAAAGCCCAACGCGGTGGTACAGCATTGGTTCGACGGGTTAGCCATGCTACATAAATTCCGTATGGAGGACGGCCGTGTTCACTACACGAGTCGGTACACTGCTGAGGGTGTAGTCAAGAAGGCCAAGAAGAATGGCTTCTTGCAAACTCTTATGGCAGGCCTGAATGCAAACACGCCGCTTAAGGACGCCCAAGATCCTTGTTCCGCACTCCTTGGTGCCCAGCAATCAATCTGGATCCCAACTGGCCCCGTAGGCCCTGACGAGTTTAATGTGAACATCCTTCCTCGGCGGGGACTCCATCTACCTACAACTGGCAACCCTTATGACAAGGGCACGCCATCTCAGAACCCTGAGAAAGAAGAGGTAGTGCTATCATTCAAGCTTGACTGTCGAGATGTTAATTCATGATAGCTCGTCGTCTGCACCGACTTCAACATGCTTCAGGTCGTTGACGGAAAAACACTCGAGCCCAAGCGAATGCTCACCTACGCTGCTATTGATCCGGAGCTCCAGGGATTCGGAATCGTCTCTCATGCCCTCAAGGATCGGCACAGGGGTGAGGAATACAACTACCTCATAAACCCCCAGACCGGAGTCTTGTCAGTATTTGCACTTGATGTCAAGTCAAACCCTACGAAGCTGCTGTGGAAGACGCCCATCCCTTGCAGACCCTGCTATGTCCATTCGATGGCCATGTCCAGTAATTATGTCGTCTTCATACGAAATGTAAGCAAATATATTACCATTCAGGCTGACGTCCCTACTTATACTTATCATGTAGCCCATCGCTATGGACTTGTCGGATACCACGAAGCCATTTACCCAGTCCATGGTTTACGAGCCTGAGAGCCCTACTGAGTTCTTTGTCCTCGACAAGATCACTGGAAAGCAGTAAGATTAGCCTCCACCTCAGGCACTTTTACGACCACAGGGGGAAGGAATACTGACTCTGTGTTTCAGCATCGCTTCGTACACTCTCCCAGACAATATTATGTTCTTCCATTCCGTGAATGGTTACGACTATGTAGATCCCCGTACTAATGAGATTAACATCCACGTCGACCTCTGTGCATACTCAGATCGCGTCCCTTACAACGACTACCACCTTAGCAACATCCTAGATCCTGCTGCGCCGTTTCAGGACGGTGTCCTTGTACGCTACGAGCTTGAGGGCGTTGGAAAGGCCGATCCCACCACCTTCACACGGGCCACTACCAAGGCTGCAATTGGCGGGACACACCTGGAGCTTCCGCGAATTGCCAAGAGCGCTTCCATGGTCCACGGCTATCGCTATGTCTACGGCATCTCGGGCCATGGCGGACCATCACCCGGCACCAGTGTTCCCATCGGTCGCTTGGGTAACGGCTTGAAAGCGGTGCATTGCAGCTTTCTGAGTCACGTTACCAAGTGCGACTGGGAAACTGGAACCTTTAAGGAATGGTGGCCAGAGAACGGAGAGAGTGCGCCTTGCGAACCGATTTTCATCCAACGTCCCGGCGCTACGGATGAGGATGATGGTATCGTACTCACCATTGTCATTAATCGCGAGGCTACTCATAGCGTTCTCGTTGCCATTGATGGCAAGACATTCAAAGAAGTTGCTCGTGCTGATATGCCACAAGTATATGCTCTAGGTCCGCATGGAACCTGTATCGAGGGAGAATTTGGTATATGAAAGAAGGGACCTTAGGATTACACTGTTGGATGACTTAACTGATCTTTTCATTTGGGAGGCTTGGTATCTATGTAAACCTATATTTCTTATACAAATTGACAGACAAGACGTATGGCTTTGGGACACTACCTTCGCCGCTCAATCTGTGACAAAGGAAAGATTTTCAACATGCCTGTTAAGGATGAGCTCCGTATCAGTACTGAATGGTTAATATAGCGGCTGTATTTTCGCGTTTGGTCTGGGCAAGATTTGGAATGACGTGACTTCAGCGGTAACAACGTTGGATTAAACAGCTGCAGCTTTCGAATCCTAGTATTGACGGCCATTCGGTCGGATTGCGATTGGCAGGTCGCAGTTTATTGAGCTGGGAAGCAATTTATGGCGATGCTAATAATTTATCCTACCTTGGCTGTAGAAAGTCGCCCGAGTCTTGATCAAGTGATCTGATAGCTGTCAGTTGGACCCAAGCCGAGGTAGCCCATATACAGAATGAGGGGAAACATATCCACTTGCACAAAATCAGTCATGTCAATTTTCAGGGATGGACATCGGTCTTATTAGTGTAACCTTGGGGATAAACGGTTCCTGACAAGAACGCCATTGAGGCATCTTATTTGCCGATCCTTCCCCGCAATCTCGCCTCTCCCCAGATTTCTCCGCGTATGAACTTGCGTGTAGCTCCACTACCCTAGGTAGTCCATGGGTATTTGATAAAGGTTTATCCGCCCCATGATGAGGCGGCATCTCGGCACATAGTGCCATTTAACTATAGATGTAGATAGACTTATCTATATATATATATAACAATGATTCAGCGAAAGAGATGATGAAAATATTGTGGCATCAACTCTTGGCAAGATGAAGTCTCTCACCTCGTTCGTAGCAGTTGCTCTAGCTGCATGCACCGTCACTGATGCCCGTGGACTGCACTATCAATCCGAAGCTCCACTGGGTATCAAGACAACCAGTGGCCATCTCTCAGGCTTCATCAACAAGACCGCCCCCGATGTTCGCCAGTTCCTCGGTGTTGCCTACGCCGAACCCCCTCTCAAGTCCCTTCGCTTCCAACCTCCCAAGCGAAAGCACAGCTCAGAGCACGTATCAGCCAAGAAGTACGCGCCGTCATGCAAACAAATTATCAGCAAGAACCCAACAGTCTATACTGAGCACATGACTCAGTTTCTTATCAATGGCGGTGACTCCGAGGACTGCTTGTATCTCAATGTCTACGCCCCCTTGAAGCCAACTGCGAAGAAGCTGCCAGTCTTCATCTACATTCCCGGTGGCGGTTTTACAGGCGGTGGTGCGGATTCACTCTACAAGATCCCCGATAAGTGGATTCAGAAGACTCAGTCTCATATCGTTGTCACCATGAACTACCGCGTCAACCTCTTTGGCTTCCCCAATGCTGAAGCTGCTCAACAAAACGTCGGTCTCCTCGACCAGCGCATGGTTGTTGAGTGGACACGAGACAACATTGCCGCATTTGGCGGTGATCCTCAGAAGATGACCCTCTGGGGCCAGTCTGCTGGTGCTGGCTCAGTTGGCATGTACGGATACGCTTATCCCAAGGACCTCATCGTCAAGGGTTTGATCTCTGATTCTGGCGCTCCAGCTATGCTGGCCAAGGCTTATGGTAACCACTCTAGCTTCGATACCCTTGCTGATAAGGTTGGCTGCAAGGGATTGGAGGGAAAGAAGCAATTGAACTGCATGCAAAAGGTCGATGCTTCAAAGTTGCAGCAGGTTTACTCTGAGACACCGACTATCTCGTTCACTCCTGTTGGAGATAACATCACTGCCTTTTCGAACACGACCGATCGAATCGCGAGAGGCTTGGTCACCAGAGTGGTAAGTAACACTGATGATTCGCTACTCACGATGAAGGCCTTGCTAACATGTGATAGCCATGGATCTTTGGCAACAATGCCAACGAAGGTGCTGGCTTTGGCACATACGATCCCAACGGAGTAACACCAGCCCAGACTGCCATTGGACTGGCGGCTATCGTCTGCCCAGTTGCTACTGAGGTCAAGTAAGTACCCCTATGTCCTACCATTCGAGACGTCTGGCTGACCCATCACCACAGAAACCGTGTCAAGTACGGATACCCAACCTACAGATATTACTACACCGGAAACTTCTCCAACATTACCCCTCTGCCTTGGATTGGCGCGACTCATAGTGGTATGTTCACTGCCTTCACTGCGTTTTCCCTACTGACGTATTCTCAGCTGAGCTTCCTCTTCTCTTCGGAACGCATTACGAGTACCGTGGCAACTCCACCGAGTACGAATGGGAGGTTGCCGAGGGCATGCAAAGTAAGTCTCACCAACTACATTTGCTTCTGGGGTTACTAACCATTGCAAAGGTCTCTGGCTCTCTTTCGCAAACAATCCCAAGGAGAACCCTCAAGCTGGAAGGATTACTTGGCCTTTATATAAACCCAACGAGAACAAGATGGCTATTTTTGCAGAGGCTGGAAAGAAGTGGTTCCAGTTGGGCAAAGGGTCTTTGACCGAAACCCAGTGCAAGTAAGACGAAGTGGCGCGTAGGAGCGTGGGCACTGAAAGCCTTGTCTTAGCGTCCCTGCAGGTAGACTTTTGAGTTAAATGTGTATTATTTATTCATTGACTACTTTGATATACTTCCAACTTGACTAATCTTGTGTAACCTGCCCGTATTCGAATTTATAACTACCAGAATACAAGCATCTTTTAGTGTGATCATTACCACACCACGCACTGGTCAAAGTGTCAGTATCTTCTCTAAGTCTTCCATAGGGATATGGAGTACTTACTCAAATAGCAGATGTCCATTCCCGTTTCTGGATGCACTCCCAGGACTTTGAATGCTCCCAGCGATCGAGCCCAATACCTTGTTGTCTCCCCTATCGTATGGGCCTGAGATACTACCCGACGTTGCGTACTTGATGCTGTACGTATCTGACGTGTAATAACCAGAACTGTAGAACAGGAGGTACGAACCGTCCTCGTAGACGAGGCTCGGCGTCTCAAGCAACTTTTCGTCGTCAGTCTCACTGAGGATTTCAACTGGGTCGTTTTTCAGTGTAAATCCATCATTCTCGAGTTGGGAGATGTCAGTCATGATCGAACCCATAAGTATAGCAGCGACTTGACATACCTGTTGCAGCATGATAGACGTCTTGCCGCAAATCCGGTTCCCATCGATCTTATACACGACCCATCTCGTATTGCTCGGGGGATCATAGAAGGCACTTGGGTCGATGACTCCGCCCTTGTCAAGCTGGCAGACGAGAGGCTCATCTCGCGGTGAATACGGGCCACGGATCGAGTCGGTGAAAGCCACACCAATGCATCGCTTTCCATCGTGGTCGTCCTGAGTGAAAGCACTGTAGTACATGACCCATTGTCCGCCATCCCGTATAACATCTGGGACCACGATATCGAGATTTTGGCCCCAAGCGCCAGCATCCTTAAGTGGATCGTCGTCGTCGAGTAGCTCCCACTTATCCTTGGATTTGTCATATCGTGCTATCTGCACCAGCTTTCCTTTGTCTTGGCTGCCGAAGGAGTACCAAGTGCAAGATTCAGGGTCAAAAACAAAGGATGGGTCCGGGAAGTTTTCACTGAGAATAACTTTAGAGTCGCCATCAAAAGTTGGCTTAAAACACTCGTCATCGCTCCCGCCGCCATCTTCAGAACCATCATCGGTGCCGCCATCTTGGCCACCAGTGTTGTATTTTGGCAACTTCAGGTCAGCTGTATATAGAAACGCGAGTCGTTAGTAAGTGTTATGATCGAATCGATAGGAGTATCTTACTTATTGGTCCATCATCTCCGCCGCTAGCACCACATTCGTTGAAGTACGTATATGCGTACAAGAAGTGATAATAAGCCAGAAGTCCAAGATTCACCATTACTGTATTGTAAACTTACCTTGTTCGTAAAAGGAAGAACATGAACAAGATCAGCCCGGCCAAGACCGCCTTGATTGGTGAAATGCATCGTCTCACCACGGTCGATGGGTGCATATAAAACCCCACGGTTGGACCAGTTGAAGGAACTACCAGTGCCACTCTTTCGTCCCAAGTTCTTGAAGACAGTGGCAGCTCCGGTGTACTTGTCGAGGTAGATGATGTCGGCTCGGCCTGAGTTCTCAACATCTGCGAAACGTATATCGGCTCGATCACTTCCCTCTGAAAACTTAACCTGGCCAATGTTCTCCATGCCACTCTTGAGATTGAGCCAGCCCGTGATACGTCCATTGGACTCGAGACACATGACATCGGCCCGCCCATCTCCATCAATGTCAGCAAGTCTCATGCCACGGTCGAAGGGGCTTACACCCCAACCCTGCGAGCAAGTCGCAGGCGTGACGACGCCTTTATCGGTAAAGGTAATGCTCTTGGAACCCGTTTTGTACGTGTTCTCATAGAGCGTCAAGGCACCGGTTGCCTCGTTCTGCACCAGAACATCGCATTTGCCATCACCCGTCCAATCAGCTAGGTGTATACCAACACGAGGTCCTGGTACCTTGAGTTCGATCTTGAGGTCGTTTCCCCATAATGGAGGATTATGAATATTAGCATTAAGTTCGGCTGCATGGTCGTCGAAATAGACCCAAACATAGTCGTCAGAGCCGGTGCCGCGCATATCACAGTAGAAGTTGCCATCGGCCTTCCGTTTGGTGCCACCAAACCCCTTGTTTTCCCACACAACCATATCGATTCCTGTTTTATCCGATCTCAGGTAAATGTAGTCTCGGCGGCTAGAGCCATAGATGCGACCGAACTTAATACGATCCTGGATGCCCTTGGTAGTTTGGCCTTTATGGGTCAGCCCAGCATCCCGCCATTCAGGCACGATGCCCTTGCCCCAGCCTCGCATATTGTTCCAGATGTGAACGCTGCCTGTGTCGCTAACCCACATTAACTCATCGCGAAAGTCTCCGTTGAGGTCCGCAAATACAACACCGGACTTGCTAGCTCCTGGCTTGGAATTCTTGTCAAAGACAGTCTCTCGCAATCCTTTGGCTGTCTTGAACCCCTCCAGGCATACTTCTCCCCGGTGCCACCGTTTCTGGAGCAGACAACAGATCCATTATCTTCAACAAGACAGTAATCTGCTCTTCCATCGCCGTCAATGTCCGTAATACGGACGTCGGTTGCTTCGTAGCCGTCGTGTTTGCCAACAACCTGGCCGATGCTCTTGAACTTGGGCGGGTTGCCTCCCTGATTGATTGACACCCAAACAGCCGAGCCGGACTTGAGACAGAAGAAGTCATCTAAACCGTCGTTATTAAAGTCGGCAAATGCATAGCGAGGTCCGTCATTGCAATCCATGTCGACATCGAACCTCTTGGAGTCAGAAAACTTACCGCCTCCCTGGTTCTGTCGGTACCAGTAAGTATTGGTGCCGTCTTGCTCGTGGTGAATGTGAGACATGTCATCTAGAGCATTACTCCGTGGCGAATTGGCGGAATTGAGGACAATGTTGGCAAAGAAGACATGCCAAGGGTAATCTTTGATCAACGACGCAGAGTCACCACCATTCTCAAGTCGTAGTGACTCAAGTACGCCCTGTGCATGGCTGTAGTGTCGGTAGATGCCGTCGTCATGGCCGCTGCCCCGTTGCGATTGTTGCGGTGCCCGAGAATTGCCGGCTGTTTTTTTGCACTCGGATGACTTTTCACTGACTGCGTCATCGATGCCACTGACTTTTGCTGGAGCTTGTATATCTGCCTGGACCTGACTAATAGCGTCCCACCAAACCGAGGCAAATAGCTTATACCCGGCGTCAGTGGGATGAATTCCATCCTTCTGCAACATACTCGTAGGCAGGACTGGATTGATGTCTGCAAGGCCAATGCGCTGGCCACGGTAGGAATTCACTAGCTGACGTATCTGCTTGCTCACTTTTGACGCGCACGCATCATTCGTGACATTGGTGCTTCTGACAATTGTGGACAGAACAACCGTCACGCCGGGAATATTGGAGTAAATGTCGTCGACCAAAGCCTTCATGCGCCCTCGGGCCCCGTCGATATCGATCTTTTGGTTACGATCGTTCCTAAAACAGTGTTAGATATCCAGAAGTTACAAAAGCTGTATGGCCACGACTTACTGCGATAAGGTTGTGGGTAGTTAGAAGAGGCTTTAGCCCCCAGCGCACAAAGGTAAAGAACACCAATAAACACATACAGGCAAGATACTCATTGCCCTCACTCACTGTTGCCTAGGATCTTGGAGGGCCACGACTTACGTTCCGGCGTTTATAAGCACAAGGTTCGGCTTCATCCACATGGACTTTCTAAACTCGTTGTGAACCTGGTCAATGAGATAGCCGGGCCAGCCCTCGTTATCCTAGACGTAGTGTTAGGTTTCAAAATTGAAAGTTCGCGAGTTACTTACCCTGTCTTTCATATTACCGTTTTGCTTAGACCCAACCATGTTGACTTTCCAGCCCCTGTACAGAAGCTGAGAGCGGAGCCACTTCCGATAGCCATTATTATCAGTTGATAGATAACCCTGAGTGATTGATGCGCCCAGCGGCATGACTCTCAGGTAGAAGTCGTTAGCCCTGCTAGACAAGCCCCTACCGGCACCTAGACTAGGCTCATGACTCTCAGAATCGGGATAAGACTCGTTCCAGGATGGGTCGAAAGAAACCACATCCGGCGCGTTGTCATTGCCATTAGGCTTGATACCATCGAGATATTCAAACGCTGTTGTATGGCCCATAAGCAGTAAGCAGACTGCAGCCAAGGGCCAGTATAGGCCTCGATGCTTGACTTGCATAGTGGGACTTGTGAAACTCAAAGTAAGTGTTCGACTAGTAGATCTGCGAAACGAAGGACAGAGTAAAGTAGAACTTGCAAAATCGTAATGACCGGAGGCAATATCCTAATTCATACTTTTGAGCCCGAATAAACAGCCTTGTCATGTGTTAGCATATTGTCAATTTGTCCTGGGCAGTGTAGCTAGCTAACATAGCCCTCGTTATAGAGTGGATACAGTAAGCTGACATTCTGTTATTCTATCTATAACGGCCAAGGACCCTATGACCCATGATGATCTCTCCGGGATATTTCCGTAGTGAGCTGACCTCAACTAAATGGAGAATGCCAAGATTTCCGAATTGCCGTGCTAGCAAGCTCGGGATTCGAAACAAATGCCGGTAAGCCAATCAAAGGGAAGCTTACCCTTATTCAACTCAATAGATTGCCTGCTGAAGGAATTTCTGACACTATATGCTTGATCCTACGATCCGTCTATGCAATCTCGAATGCTGATCCTCATTAAGATGGTGGCTGTGAATCCTCGCCGCTAGGCATTGGGGGCTAGTGATCAGTAAACAAGTAGCGATATTGCTCTGACACTTTTCATCCTTTTAATAATCTAAACCTGCACGTGCCTTGTCTAGGCGTCTTGTGACACATGCTCAGAGTGTATTTTCTCAGCACTCCCTTCGAATAGTATTGTAAATATACTGGAATCTAGATAGAGCCGTCTTGTGAATTTAGGTCAGAAGAGGGCAATATGCCATAAAAACTAGCCAATCCAGGCCATGTAGCAAAGACTGAGCTCTTCTCGTGAGATTGGGTCAGGTAGTCCTCCAGCTGACATTAATATAATACCGTGCCGTTAGGAATACGAACTGTATCTGCATCCAAATGGCTGGCCCTGAGCATATAGTGGAGATATTAGTCGATATGAGCTGCTACAGGTCCATGCATGCATGCGCCTCATACCCTAGTGAAGGACCGATGTCAGCTTACGCTCTCCGGAAATTTCTTCTTTTGTCAGCTTCTAGTTTGTCAGGGTGAGCATGTCCACTACTGTTGACAGCCCTGTCGTAGGATGGATTTTATCCCTGTTAGACTGATTAGAAGGATATCTTCAGTAGGGAGTAGAGTACAAGATAACATGGAATTACTATATTGGCCATAGGTACTTACCTTAATTATTACGACTTGTCTTCAGCACAACTGACTATCCCCGACTTGCAATTTCCCTTACCATACTTTCTTACGGCCAAAATCCCTTTCATCGTGGCATGGTAGCTATTCTCAAGCACAACATTTGACCTTGATACTGCCTCTCTTTCGATAATGAAGGAGTTCCTTCGATATGCATTACTAGGCCTTCTAGCCCAGGGCTCTCACGGCTTTCTAGCACCTAGGTCGGAGCAGCAAGCGAAATATCGCATGCCCAGCAACAAAAACAGTATAGTCCCTCACAGCTACATAGTCAGCCTCCATGACAATCACACCATCGACGATCATTATGCCACGTCGGTGTCAACATCAGCGATGTGGCATCGGATTTCAAGTACCTGGCTCCGTTGAATATCTATTACTTCCAACATGAGGCGCAGATGCCGGAATCCCCTGGAAAGAACCCCTTCAGATTGGCCCCGGATCATCCATCAATAAGAGGCAGAGAAATCCATATGACAATCAGCGCGGCGACTATTGGGACAAGGACTACTATGACGGCCCACAACACACCGTTGAATTTGGTAAGTTTTGATAGATATCTCATCTACAAGTTCTTCCGGCTCTCAAATATTATACCAACTACTTCTGCTACCGCAAATAGATGGAGCACAACCAACGATTGACTCACCTCTTCCCGAAGAGAATCTCGACAAGGGATACTTTGATAGTGAGGAGGATACTTGCGATTGCAAACCGAGATAATTTAATGATGCCGGCAAGCATGCATGAAAAATGTGTCTAGCTGTATCAGTCTAACACGTATGCAGTCTTGAAGCAATCATTATTAGATGCATACCAAGTTTGAGATACAGGACTGGGAAGAAGTGGTTCAGTTGGCCAAAGGGTCTCTGACTGAGACTCAAAGCAAGTAGAAGTATGGGAGTCGAAGAACAGAAGATTTTGGGGCGTTATGATCTCGATGACTCAGCTGTTTGGATGATACAACATCTGCGGGGAGACGAGCCACAAATGTTAGCTTCATTCAGCAGTTATCTGCCAGCACGATGCTCTAGCAAAAGTAGGATATAAGACTGCAGATCACCACCATTTCAAACCCGAAACCGAAGCAGGTAGCCACCACATTACGGTTTCCCTAAAAGCGTCTGTGACAGTCACTACTTACCGGAGGCTACGGAACCCATATTTACTAATATATTGGAGACTTAGCTATAGTAGCCAGGTCCCGAGAGCTCCAGGCAGCAAAACAGTGTAATAATATAAGAAACAATACCAGAAACCCCCCCTTTTCCAATGACTTTCATTTATTAACAATCTTCTTTATCACGCTTATACAAGATATACCTGTGTATATTCTCTAAATCTCTATCTTCTACTACAACTTCAGGATGGCTGGCTTTAAGACCCATCTTATTGTGCTACAAAGGGCCGCTCAGGATACTCCATCACTCTTGGCTCTTAAAATACCGCATATGTCATTAGATGGTGAACTCCAAGGATGGACAGATATAACCTGCTCGCAGCTCCTGCATGACGTCGAGCGATCTGCCAGGTATTGGTCCCGTAAGCTTTTGAAAAAGGAAATCAACACTGGATCAGTCATTGGATTATGGTGAGTTGAAAGATCTTGAACCGCCAGGCACTATCATTGACCTGATTTAAGGCTGAAGGGAACTACTTACCTAGATCTACTGCATATCTGGGGCATCTCTAGAGCTGGGTACGTTCCTCAGCTTATTTCGGCTCACTTGACTAGCAGCACCGTAGTCAGACAGCTCCTCAACGATGCTAAAGCAAAGGGTCTTATCCATGATCCGGCAATTCTCGTTTCTGTGGGTGAAGATGTTGCCACTTTTCCTGCTGCTGATTTCCTCGGTCTGGCTGTCGAGCAATTCCCGCTTGCTGAAGTCAACAGCCCCAAGTCGGGTCACGAGATTATCTTCATTCTGCACTCCTGTGGATCTACCTCTGGGAAACCGACGCTGGTTCCTGCAACAGCTAGGTGGCTGGATTGCAACATGCGCAAAACCAAGCACGTTACATTCCGGGGCCCAGGGGCTGAATATCAGGAGACTAATGTGGCTAGGTAAGCGAGCAAACTATCGAAGTCAGCGTCGACTAACACAGCTATATAGTGGAAGTTTCTGTCACGTCGCGAACGCACTTGGATTCATGTCATATCTTAATAAGGGCTCTTGCATGACGCTGCCTACGTTGCTCCCCTACTCACTTCCCGAACTACGGAAAATGGTTAGGGAGTGTAGAGTGACAGTGTTGAACATGTTTTCTTCCTTTTTAGCCGACGTCACCAAAGCAGCTCGTAAGGATCCCGAGCTTCTCGCCATACTCCAGAGCTTCGATGCCTGCACTTGCGGTGGACTTCCACTGGACGAAAATAAAGCAGCTTGGGCTCGAGAGCAAGGCATAAACCTAGTTGAACTCTTCGCCAGCACAGAGGTCGGCTGTATGATGATTGGCGTGGGGGGACGACATGGGAAGTTATTGCGCATGTGGCCTGGATCAACATTTGAGATGCGACCCATTTCTGTCGCGCTAGCTGACACTTCACTCAGAGACGCTGCTAATATTGCATCAAGGGGAACGCTTGTGGAACTAGTAGTTCCCAAATATGCTCCTGAATGTCCGCACCCTTCGCTGTGTGACCAAGACACAGGCGACTTCAGTACAGGCGATATCTTTCTGCAAGTCGAGCCAGATCTTTACATCTCCATGGGTCGCAATGACGATTGGATCAAGATGGAGAACTCACTGCGCTGTGATACACGATCCATTGAGAACAACGCACTTGAGGTGTGTGGCAAAGACCTAATCACCGCAGCAGTAGTCGTTGGAGCTGCCAGACCTGCACCAGCGCTTGTTGTCGAGGCCAAACAAACCGAGGACTATGGTGAACTGCAAACTAAGATTTTGCATCGAATTACCCCATTCCATGAGCGCCGGTATAAACACGAGCGTATCCTCGACTCGCGACTGATTGTCATCGTGCCTAATGGGGCAATACCAAGAACTGCAAAGGGTAGTATGCAAAGGAAAGTGGCTAAGAAAGAGTTTAAAGAAGATTTAGACAGGATTTATTCAGAGGTATATCTAAGGAAGTAAACTTAAGAATTATTAGTTTAATATAACTATATTATCTTATTTATAATCCAGTTACTGAAAAGACCAATGAATAATAAAGCTGTATTTCACACGTATCTGAACTATTCAATCTTTTTACATCATCTGACAATAGCCAAAGTACTTGAAACGGATTTACGACAATAACAATTGTTCTTTGACTCCTAGTCGTTACGGTCCCTCTTCAGCCATTTCCCTTGAGAGCGTAATGATTCCATAAGCCGAGCTACGTGCCCACGACGTGGTGGTAACCTATCCACAGCACTGAAATCGTAATCTCGCATGTTATGAACATTGCGCTCGTCTGATGGCGGGTTAAAACCCAATTGTATAGTTCTAGAAAAGCATATCAGTATTGGTGTTCATATGTGCGACTCACTCCAACATACCTGCCTGTACTCGAATACACACTGCTATTGAAGTGTTCTCCCCCAAAAACAGGTGATGAAGTGGGATGGAACCTATCGCCCGATCCTCGCCGCCAAATCCGTAGATGTGCGCTGTCGACGATATAACCGTCTTCAGGCTGAGAAATTTCGGAGAGAGGGAGGCTGAGAGTAATGTTTTTCACTCGCTCCAGGGGTGCGAGGGCCTCTGTAAGTGACGTTATATTCAACAGAGAGATATTTTAGGGGCTCTGATCAATGTTGTCCGCGTATTTGTCTATTAATAGAGCCGAGGAGCGGGCGGCAATCCAGATATCTAGGGTTGTCAGATTCTCCAACAGATCTAGTCTGAGGCCATGAAAGTTCGGGGATTTGTGGCGCTCCTCTACCAGTGGTGTCTGGACTGGCGATGAGCAGGCCAGTAGCATGGGAAAAACTGGCTCTAACGATAGCTCGAGGTGTCTGCCAAGCGTGCGAAACGCTGGTGGCGGAGTAGTCACTTTGGACTCTTCTTCCATACTCTTTGGGACTTTACAGAACCCGACAAACATATTGAGAGCAATGACGTCTGTGAAGATAAAAGTGGTCGACTCATAGATTGACTTGAGGCATTCTGAAGACCTAAAATGATAATTAGTAAACAAAAATATGCGCAAAGCTAGTCATGGCCATACATGAGCCTGCACGACAAGAGCGTGCCCAAGTACGGGCTCCACGTCGCAGGATTTTCGGGGTTTGATTGGGGGCTACTCCAGCATGGTCCTCGAGAAGAACACATACTAATACCAGGGCTTGCATCGCTGCCGTGTACCTGTGCAATACGTTCACCACAAGTGAAATGATTCTTCCAGGCAGAATAGAGCTGCAGGGCATAGCCCTTGTTGCTGAAGCTATCCCCCAACGCAACACCGAGCTCAATTCTGGTGGTGTTGATAGCTTCCTGGAGTCCATCCTCCACCTCGAATGGCGTCGTGCACCGCCATCGACAGAAATGAGACTTGGTTACGTCTTGCGTGTCCTTGTGCCAAATGATGTGCTGGCGAAGACCGCAAGAACGCCATAGCTCTAGATAGACTTTATCGCGCACTTCACGTGGGATACGTGTAATGAAAGAGGATTGAAGCTGAGGGTCTGGAGACTGGTCGGCCATTTTCGGGTGCTGTTAGATGTGTTGCATGGTACAAGCATTTGTCGGAGGAGAGGATGGCGCTCTATTTCAATGCCAACAAGACCAACCAACCCCTACATTATTTATGCGCTAAATTTAGACGAAACACTGCCCCTCGCCCCCAAATAACAACCAACAACCAGCAGCCAACAGCCAACAGCCAACGGCCAACGACCAGCTGCCGCAAGGTAATACAGAATGGTAGGTCTTGGATTGTCTTGCGCATGGACATGACAGAGGGAGAATTTTAATACTTTATAATGGGTTTTTAATCGGGCTTGGCATCAATAATATGCTCGGCACATAATTATCATACGTTCATCGCCGACCGTAGCTCTTTCGGAGTAAAGGACTCAACGCTCGATTTTCAGTCGATAGGAATGCTAGCTCATTTCATACTATTCCATAATCTCATTCCCCTCTTATCAGCACACTTCTTGGTCAAGACATGTTATGCTGCTAATTTATCCTATTGTTAACACAAATCTTTGCTCTAGTAAAAAAGGATGCGTGGTCAACTTCCCGTGAGGCTCCCTAAATATTATTAAGCTATAGATTGTGACCATATACCAGCATTGTCATGACTTATTTTAACTGATGGACTAAAATAGCGCCAGCCCATATCGACCCCGGATTGAGACGGTCGGGGTAGACTTCCATCATGCGAGCATAAAGCTCTTCGGGTGTCTCGGTCTCAGCAGTTATTTTCTCAAACACTTCCAAATATGTTTTAGTATCCTTAATCGCTTCAGGCCCAAATCCATGACTTGGGTCGCCATGTCCACCCACGACATGACTGGGCTCAAGTGCAGCGATGGTGTCCAGAGCTTCGATCCAATCCTTTCGCTTGGCAGCCGTTCCAGACTCTCCCATATACGGATGAGTATTTGCGTAGACCGCATCGCCAGTCACAGCAAGTTTGATAGAAGGGACCCAGAGAGTTGTCGTATCATCGGTATCCGTGTGGCCTGTCCTGACAACCTCCAGCCTCTCCCCTTCTAGTTCAATGTAGTCTTGCTCAAGAGGCTCGGCAACCCGTAAGGTCGGCGGGATCTGGCCCGGAAACAGCTTTTCCCAAAGCCCAGCGAGTCGCGCAGGCGCAGTCTCTAGCTTCATCCTGGCCACAACTTCAGGTGTTGCGACCATGACGGCATTAGGAAACCGCTCTAGAATGGGTGCGCCGCCAAAGAAATGGTCGCCGTGGGCGTGCGTAACATAGATATGGGTGATGTTCTTGCCGCTTTCGACAACCCAATCCAGGAGCTCGTTGGAAGCTTGCGAGGTCAACTGGGCGTCAACTAATACAGCATCTTGATCGCCATATATCAGGGTGGAGGAAGTAGGAACCCATCTAAGGTGGTCGTGGCCGGCGGGCCCTGAGCGAGTGGCCGAGTCGCGTTTGCTGAAAAATACACTGTACTGTAAAACCATTTTGAGAGGGGATGGTTTGGCTGGGACTCGTGAGACTGGAGTAGCAGCTCCTTGACGAGAAATATTTATAAGAAAATGTTTAATATTCCTGTCCACCGCTGATTAATAGGTTTTACCACGACATATTTGTTATATAGTAATCAGGTCCGATCTCCGAAAACTCCTTCCAGAAGAAGTGGATAAGCGGTATGGCACGAACCTCGGTGGCCCACAACTTTAAAGTTCAACTAAGTGTAGCGGGATAATAATGAGACCGTTTGGATATCCTAGCACTAACATAATATTATAAGTCTATAGTATAAATTTTTCCTTATTTTCAGAGTTCAAGTGGTATATGTTCCTTTTGTAATATCAGTCTTTGTTCGACTAGTACACACACAAAATGCCTCGACACTCTAGCTCGGTTGATGGTGCCGAACTGTTTTATCGCCATTATGCTCCAGAAGGCAGAGCCCCAGTAATCCAATCCACGAAGAGCCTAACTCTGGTTCTTCTTCACCAATGGCCTCTCTCATCTCGCATGTACGACTCGATCCTACTGTCACTTTGTGAGACTCATGGATATCGTGTCATTGCCCCCGATCGGCGGGGTTTTGGCAAGAGTGACTGGTCTGGACAAGACCCTACAGTTCCCATTAGCTACAAGGAGCTTGGACAAGACTTGTCGGGCCTGTTGGAGAGAATCCAGCCCGGGCCTTTTGTGTTTGTTGCCACCAGCATGAGCACGGGTGAAGCGCTTATGGCATACCTCAATAGCTCATATGTACAGGAAAACTGTCAGGTCAGTTAAATCACGGGCTATCTGACGAAGTCAAGCGCTAACAATGTCTCAGGGTATGGTATGGATAAGCACGTGTCTACCATATCCTACAGCCTCGCCCCAAAATCCGAAAGCTATGCCACAGAGCGCATGGGATGCTACCGTCACGGCTCTGAGACAAGATAGGCCCAACTTCATTGCCAACGGCTTCAAGGGGCCCTTTGGAGACTCAAATTCTGGTGCAGTCACAGAGAAACAGGTTGCGTTCTTCGAAAACATCTTTTTCGAAGCTGATCCCTTTGCCATTGAACGCTGCCTACAGATTTACTCTAGCGAAGACCTATCTGAGCATCTCAAAAGATTTGGGCAAATTTTCCAAAAGCCTTTCCTTCTTATCCATGGCGGCGGCGATAAGGCAGTGCCTGCTGAAGTGAGCGCAGAACGTGTTCAGGAGTCTGTCCCTGGAGCCAAACTGACTTTATATGAAGGAGGAGGACATGGTAAGTTTCCAAATCTCGGCGCTCAGTAATGCAAAGCTGACCTAAACTCCTTAGTTCTCGTCCTTGCGCATTCTGATCGCCTCTTGGAAGACATAGTAGAATTTACAGAAGGTCTTGCGTGATGCAACTGATATTTAGTGGAGGTACTCTTAGTAATTTCTATAGTACGTTATGAGGAAACTAGACGGAGTGAAATACACGAAGCATGCAAAAGTAATCTTGTGTCGTAGAGTAAACTCCATGGCCAAATGGGCACTGAAAGCTTTCAAGCGAACAACGGCGTGGTGTTAGGTGATAAAACTACCATAGAATCTCTATACCTGAGGCAAGTCCTTATCATCGTGCAAGACATTCTCTGTCTTAAAAACAACAGCATCCTTGGGTAGATGAGGCGAAAGAAGGGCCGTGTCCCAGTAGAGCCAGACCTCCTTAAAATGCAGCCCCTCCTGAGTCTCGTCGCTTCCACTCTTTCCGATAATAGCAATCATTGTGATAGGAATACTAACAGTTGGCGTGCTTTCTTTGTTTCCCCGCAGCCAAAGGTTCCGAACATTCTGGGTGTATATCTGGCTAGTCCCATCATCACGCTCAATCTCCACAAAATGGATCCAGTCGTGCTCGATGCGCTCAAACACGTTGAAGAGCTTCTTCATCCACGCCCACATTTCGTCTCCTCCGTGATAGACGGCGTTATTCTGGTTGTGGAAGATCACATCCTTGGAGTAGAACTTAAGACCAGAGCCGCTGTCGTAGCCCCTTGAATCAACGGCATTGACATATTCCTTGAAGAACTTCTGCGTCGGTGACTGCGGGCCGTCCTTCTCCCATTGTGCGCCGGAGACGTGACTAACGATACGAGGCATTGTGTATGACTAGAAGGATACGTGAAGAAAGGGCCAGAGAAGTAAAGGTATGGAAGTAGTAAATGGATCTTGAACAAATGGAGATACTTTAGTCGTTTTGCGTTCCCGGCCAGGAACCAAATCAACACCAAATAAATGAACTCATGATTGTTTATATCTTGGGATGGTCATGAGACTCACGGAAGTGCCGAGGTCCATGATCATCCGTCTTATCCGGGCGATCAAGGCTAATTCAAGTGCCGTAAATGCACCATCACATCATAGTCGGGAGAATTATCAACAATCCCCGGATGACTAAACCTGGTTTGCGGTAGCATTGACGTCCTTGTCTAGAAACTTAGGACTAAGCAACCCCGATTGAGCTTAGATGTGCGGTCCTTCATCAGGGAGCCTGGCATAGTCTGTCATTCTAACTGATCGACATGCTGGCTGCTGGTCTTGGTGTGGGGAGCAGAGTGGGCTATCCGAAGAGATCTACATACGAGCCGCGGCACCCCCACTCCTCTACAGTAAATTAAATGCTCCGTAGCAAGTGCCGGTAGTAAGGGCTGATAAATTCACAAAGCTGTCGTGGCACATGAGCCCGACACGGCCTGCTTGACAAGTCCCATCCCGGGCCTCCATTCAAGAAGCTCTACATAGTATTAATCTTCTAAAGCTATGTTCTTTAACTTTATCAGGACCCCCAAGATAGAAATATAGCTCAGAGAAATTTACCTATGGAAAAGTCAGCCAATAATTTACATCTACGTAATAAACTGGCACGTCGTTTCAATTCCTTCTTCATACACTCTTGACATACCTGCCGCGCCTAAACTCAAGGATGGGCCTCCCACGTCAAGACATTGAGTTTCGAGCATGCGATGGCATCACACTGCGTGGCTGGCTGTACCCCCAGGCAGAGACCTCGCCATGCATCATTATGACCCACGGTGTTAGTATACAGCCTCCGCTCTTTTACTGTCTCTTTGGTTATAATATCTAACAAGTAATATTTATTCATCCAGCTTGGTGGAACCCGCCACTTCCTGCTTCCGAATTTTGCGTCAGCTTTCCACGATGCAGGGTATATAGTACTGTTATATGACAACCGTAATTGGGGAGATAGCGATGGTCTGCCTCGGCAGGAGTCCAATCCTCCGTTACAGCAAGCAGACTATTACGACGCATTCAACTTTGCATCAACTATTCCTTGCGTCGACCAGGACAAGATTGTGTACTGGGGCAGCAGCTTCTCAGGTGGAAATGTTATCTACGCTGCGGCAATCGATAAGAGGATCAAAGCTGCTATAGTCCAGTGCCCTGCTGTTTCAGGCGAGGTCAGGTCACTCGCGTTCAAAGATCGTATCCCAACTTTGCTAGAAGACCGGCGTCAGATTACCTCTGGATTAGACCCACCAACCGTGCCGCTGATTGCCGTTGATCGAGAGTCTTCGGATCCAACTACGACAAACGCCATGTTCCCAACCAAGGATGCATACGACATACTGACTCTTCAAAAGACATGTGGAAGTCGCTGGGAGAACTACATCACTTCGCAGACACAACTGCACATGCTCAGCTTTGAGGCTCAGTCTATGATTCATAGAGTCTCCCCTACACCACTTTTGTTTGTTGTTCCCGGTAACGATGTCTTGGTACGAACGGCATCACAAATGGATGCGTTCAACAAGGCGCGGGAACCTAAACAACTACTATACCTGGACGGCTGCGGACATTTTGATCTTTATACGGGAGACTATTTTGAGGAAAACATTAAGGTGCAAATAGACTTTCTTAACCGTTATGTTAAGTGATAGAAATTTAGCTCCTGATAGACTTAGAATTACCTTTAGTAAATCTGCGCTTATACCAGGAAGGAAGCCATCAAGATAAACGTGGTTGAATAAGCTATCTGCGACAAGCCTCAACTGCAAATCGCAGATCTGGCTCACAACTTGATTAAATGTTTCAGTCAGTGAATGTTCCATTTGGCTGCCCTCATGCTAACTTGGAGGATTACCGTGTTTCAAAAACAGGCCCCCTTAGACCTGAAGCGTCATGCCTGTCACATAAGAATTCTTCACCAGTGACAGGTAGGCCTCTACCATATCCTCTGGCGTTCCGACAGTACCAAAGAGAGATAATCCTCTTAGCACGTCGCGATCCACCTCATCCTGGCTACATTTTTGCCTGCCTGCTGAAAGCCCCTATCTCCTGTCTGAGGGCAAGATCTGTAAGAATCTCCTCGCTGCCGCCACCAACTACCTGTGAGATGTTAGCTGCTCCGCACTCATTATCCATTCTCGAGATGAAGAAGCAAAGGCACTTACTAGCATCCGAAGGTCACGGCTGATTTGCTCTACTGTCGCTCCTCGGCCGCCCTTCTGATAGCCGGCGCCCCCAAAGATTTGCTGTGCTTCTCTGCATGCCAATTCCACCATCTGCCCGCCCTGGATCTTGGCCAGGGCTATCTGACTTGCAATGCTTGGTTCCTGCCATCCCTCACTAGATGAATTCACCTGGAAAGCGATCTGCTCAAGCCAAGCCCAGTGAGCCTCGACGCGGTGTGCAACTTCAGCGAGTTTGCGCCGTATGACTTGATTCTCAATCAACTTCTTCCCAAAGGTCTTACGCTCCATCGCATATGAGAACGACATGGCAAGACAGGTACGGCTCTTTCGATTACACCCAACTGCAAGCGCATATCGTTCCCTGTTGAAGTTCTTCATGATGATTCCAAAACCCTCGTTGTCTGGACCGATCCGATTCTCAACCGGCACTTTGACATTTTCGAGATCCACAAAACTAGACCCTCCGGCGTTCTGTCCACTATTGAAGATCTTTGTCACAGACACGCCGGGGCTATCGAGCGGGATCTCGAGAACGGTAATACCTTTGGCACCTGGACCGCCAGTTCGTACAGCAGTAGTCATATGGGTTGCCCATTGAGCACCCGTAATCCACTTCTTGGCGCCGTTCACAACGTAGAACTTGCCGTCTGGAGACTTTTCAGCTGTGGTTTGGATGTTGGCCACGTCTGAACCACCACCGGGCTCCGTGATACCTAGGCAGAAATTGACACTTCCCGAAAATAGTCCTGGAAACCAACGAGACTTTTGTTCCTGAGTTCCATAATAAAGTACCGGTGGTAGGCCGATCGTAGACGCGCCGCCGAGGGCAATAGAAACTCCGCCTTCAACACGAGACATTTCGTCGGTTGAAATGAGAAAATGAAAGGCGTCCAATTCACCTTGGGGGATTCCTGCTAGATCGGGGACATTTTTAGGTCGGAACTCTTCTGGTACGTCCTCAAAAGGAATTCCAGATTTGCAGTAGCTCAGTGCCGCTGATCGTGGAACGTCGCCTTTCTCTTCCCATTCCAAGGCATATGGAAGAATATGTTCATCGACATATTTGCGAATATTATCCCTCAATTTCCAGTGCGATGCGTTGAGGTAGACCGAGTTGCCAGTCCGATACCATGCAGGTTCGCTCCATGGCACATTTGGTGGTAAATATAACTTGGGATCTGGTGGCATTCTGAAGATTCAGGTCGCCAGCGCTTTGTAGTCTGGATAGTAATTCCTTAATTTCAGTAAGCGTATGGCGGTAACACTTGTGAAGAAATTATCGATCTGCAGAAAGTAGCCTTTGTCGATCTCGTCGAACCTACTTTCGCTCATATATACCCCTACCTCGAACGTGCATAGAGATTGGTAGAGAGCTTTCTGGGCAAACAAGGATTTCACATCCGAGGTGAAGAAGATCGGGACCAATTTGCACCGCTGACAGCCTCGGAAGAGTCAGTAAGACGTAGCAGAATAACAATCCAAGCATGGCTCAACCCATTACGGCGAGCAGAGGATCATGTGTTAGTCAGTACCCACCGAGAATGCCGAGCAAAGCTAGTCCACAACGGTTCTAATCAATTGCGGGGTTGTTGTCTAACATACTCTAAGGAGCTTAGTATGGTAGATCATCTATCTTGAGCCTCGGCTGAGCCTGAAGATGAAATGTATGGCACAATTCACGTACTGTAGGTACCACTCTTTGTCAGTATTACCTACGTAAACTACACTGTTGGAGATGGAGATTGAGTATCTAAGCATGAAAGCCATAATGAGATTTATGTTCACTTATCGGCGTCTAGACTACCCTCATCCAATCCCCCCTCTTCTGCCCGTTCTCCAAATTGTTCGATATCTTTCTCAATCCAGATTATCGGCGTCATCGATCCACAGAAACTTCATAACCAAGAAGCATAATATTATAAACCATACACTATAGTTTATTATATTAAGTATACTTACCAAGCATTTATATATGTATTTTAAAATTTAAAGTACCACATAAGAATATGAGGTAATGCTTTATATCTTATACAGTATACCATACCCTATATCTAAAAACTACATAAAAGCGCGACTCGGCTCCACATCTTGTGTCGTACTTACGATAAGATAAGGTGGTCCGTACCCCGTAAGCATCCTCACCATTGATAGCTAGGGCTTCTCCCTAGCCAACCTTCTAAACAATGAACTGGCGAGAGCCCTTGGTAGTAAACGTTGATCAATTGATGCGCTGCATATTCAAGTCGCTCGTACTGACTGTCGCAAAGCGACTAATGGGAGAATTGTCACCTGTGGAGGAGGGCAATTGATGGAACTGCTTCTGCTGCAAATACAGAGAGGGCTCTTCCAGGATTCGCGCCGCCAAAGCGGAGCGCTCAGCACTGACCAATTCTGTGACGTGCGTTCGTGGACTCGTGTTATACTCGCGTTTAATTAGTCCCCAGGCATCGCTCCTATCCCTACGATCGATGCTGCCTTTGCCTTTTGACAAGCTGTCGTCTCTTGACCTCCACGGACGACACTTGCCACAAATGATCACCGTCGAAGGACTTCATTCTTGCCGCGCCTACCCCAACGCTCCAAGTCGCGACCTGACTGCCCCCGCATCTCTTGGAGGGGTTGGGCGCCTGGCTCTGCTTAAGAGTTGGTCTGCCGTGAGATTGGGATGCTTCCTCTTCAGGCGTGTCAGTATTCATGCTGCTAAGTTCTGTCTGCTGATTTAAGCTCTCAGCCACAAGCCGCAACTGCAAACAACACATCTGTATTCATGTTGCAGTCAGAGCTCAGAGAGGAGTTCTGTGGTTCGTCGCCAAGAATAAGGTACAGCTGGCCATCAAGCAAAAGCTCTCAGGTGCTGCCAACCTTGTGCAACCGCGTAATGGGAGTTTCGACGATCATTCTTATTTTGGAATAGATTTCAAGTTATTTTCGATCGTGTCAATCTTGAGCCCCAAAGAGCGGTTCACTTCTCTCAAGACAGGCAACGTCGACGCGGTCATCGATAGCGAGCCACAGCTCTTAGTCTCATTGAAGCGAAGAGGCGAAGGCTTTGACTTTCTTCCTTCAAGAAGCTAGCATCAGCGACGCGAAAATGGGCATAGCCTCAACAAAGATAAGTCTCTTGATAAAAAACAGAATAATATGCTTTTATGATAACTCAATCAATAACCTTATTAGCAGCAGCTGGGGTATAAGAAGCCGCCTTACTCCCTCATTCTAGATGTTTCCTACCAGTTAGTGCTTCCTCTCTACACGAACTGTATCGCTGTAACTAACATTTGTCCCGAAATGCTCTCATTCTCTTGTTCCGACCTAGAGCCACGGGGTCCCTAAATGTTCCCAGAGGAAGAACGAGATCTCCAGGCTCGAAAGGCAGCTGACGCCATCACACGCACCGCTGAAGACCTTCTCGCTGTTGAGACGATAGAATTTGCACAGCTTCACCTGCAAGTTTGACCTGGTCAAAAAGGAATCGAATAATTTACTGAGAAATTATCATCTAGTGTCCCTTCGCTCTTTAGTGCCCTCTCAATCCATACACTAGCCATCGGTCAAAAGAACACAATACAGCGGCAATTAGCAGAAAACAAGTCACGACAATGCATATTGGCGTTAACAGAGCTAGCTAAAACTCGGCCAGTTGTTATGTGGGTGGTAAAGTCGTTTTCAAATCTTGTGCGGCGATTACTTAGCCGAAGATCTCTTATGCATCAAGAACCCCGACAAATACCAGCTGAATACAGGACTGAAAATGATGGTAGCTCAGCAATCTATCGCCAACCCAGCATTCCAACTGGAGACCCTCTCCTTATCACTGGACCTCACGTGGAGCCTGGCCCTGATAAGCCAGCCCCAGATGGTGACGTCTCTATAACAGCGGACGAAGTCTTTGGCAGCTTGCCGGACGGCGCGGGCTCAACTCAACACTTCCAATCTCACACGTATCCTGACTACTTCTCTGGAGCTATCGACCAATCTGAGCATGATTCAGCCTGGTATGGCTGCCTTGAAGACATCCTTGATTTAGAGCTGTTACAAAAGAACTCGGTATGAGTACCTAATAGAAGTTAATATAATAGAGGTAAGGGCGTATCTATTTATTAGATTCTAAGATCTCTACACACCAAAGTGAATATAGGGAACCCAAAGCGGATACTGCAACTCTATGTCATCACAAGCCACCACGTCTCTCACAACATCTGCCTCTCTAGGCACATTCTCACCGTAGCCCAACCCTTGTACCCAGCTATCTCGAAGCTGCCTCATTGCAAAGTGAAGCCCATGGCTTATGGCATCATCATTTATACCTGTCTTACGCAGATTGCCGTAGAAAAGCTGTGCCATAGTAACGCATAGTTTATCGTTCACTTCCCATAAGGTACCGATAACGTGACGGAATCCTGCTAGCTGAAACGCCCGAGTCAGGTGAATACTTTCATCCAGTGACTTCTTATCTCGAACTTGACCAGTTCCGCAAGCTGAGAGATATGCGAGGAATGGCGACTTAGAACTCAAGTTCGTATCAAGTAAACCTGCCACGGTGAGAGGGTCTTCTATCCAGTCTTCAAGTAACAGGTGGCTCAAGAGTGGGCTCTTCTCATCCGTATTGCCGTGTCCCGCAAAATGGAGTATCATGGAGCTTTCGATAGCTAATAAGACATCCCTTCTCCGAGCATTGGGTTTAGTCCACGGCAGCCCCATTTTGTCACAGATTCCCTGCACTGCGAGTATTTCACTATTTGCATGCCGGAGGGTCGGCTGTCCTGGCGTATCCTGCATTGAAACAAGCACAACTTCGCGAGGCCCTCTCATTTGCATCGGAGGATCTGGTTTCCGACGACTATTTATAACAGCCTTGATGGATGACGCGTACGAAGACACCACTCTATCAAGGACCGCACTGGAATTGCACTCGCAATGCCTTCCAGCTGTGTGAATGGGAAAGCCGGCAAGCAGTCCAGTTGGTATCCACCAAATATGTGGCCATGAATCAGTAGCAGGAATCTTGTAGTAGCCCAAAACGTCCAGAACTGGTGAAGCAGCGACATCCCAAAGCCATTCTAGCGTTTCGACAGATCGAACATGCGGAGCTTGAGCAAGTATCTTCTTTAGAGAAAGCTGCGGAAGTTGGACTACCCGTAGGCCTGCTTTCTCCACTATCAAGGCATCACATCGATGTCGACTGACGTTGAGGATGACGATAGGACCCCGCGCCGCCGCAGCTCGTAGCTCAGCCTCTGACGGCGGAAGAAGAAGTCCTCGAACCCGGCACAACTGCGTATCTCTCCAAGGAGTATTGGCATCCTGGTAACAGCCTTGTGTCGCTGGTCACTCTTGGTGGAGGTTTCTATCGCTTCCGCGTCAGCCTCTCCTGCTGATAAAGGTGCATCAAGTTGATAACGAAGAGTCACAAAAGAGTGAGCCAAGTCAGGGTGCTTCTTTTCCAACTCAGAGATGTCAACTCGCAAATCTTGTAGAGAACTCGCCAGTACCCCACGTCCTGTCTCTAGAAGACGAATTGCCGAGAGTGTGCCCTTGCCAGCCAGCAAGGCAATGGCTGCCGCATCCGAGGCAAGTCCTGCTATTTCTGCCAAAAGGTGCTGTTTGTCCTTGTTTTCAAGCGAGGGAGGACTCAGCAAAGGAGCCAACTGAATAGTTGCCTCAGCGACTAGATATGCCTCTTGCCCCCCTCCTTGAGAAACATCCATAAACGACAACAGCGTCCTACCAGCTTTTATTCGGATACTGATGGGGGCCGCATTATGATGCAAAGCAGTTCTGAAGCACTGGACGGCCTCTTCGAGATCTGAAACCACCTTCGTGCGTGAATATTGCGTGCGGAGTTGATTCCCAAGAACATGCAATCGTCTGGCTATGTTGGGATCGTCGTTTGGTGTTCCATCGATTGCAGTACGGCATGCGCAGGTCGCTTGCTCCAGATCCTCCATGGCTTTCGTATGCAAATATTTAGATCGAAGCTTAACAGCGAGATTGAAGAACAGCCCTGCTCGACGAGAGGGTTCTTTCGTGGCTTCTACGGCTTCTTTATTCATCCTGATAGACTCAGATAGGTCGTCGAGGTTTCTTGATCGTAGATACCTATTCCGTAGTCGTATACCGAGAACCTCCAGTGCTATAGCTCTACTAGGATGGTCGTCCGCCATGCCTTCAATGGCCTGCTGGGCCACGCTGATAGATTCATCGAAGTCGGCTGTTTCCTTGGTGCGTGCGTATTTCAAGCCCAGCCGAATGCTTAGATTAACCAACAGATCGCACCTCTGTTTATGCTCCACTGGAGTGACTGCGATAGCCTTGCGGGTGGCACTGATAGCCTCTTCCAGGTCCTTCATGGATCCAATTCGAGTGTATCTGTTCCTCAGGTGGACGCTGAGGGTGATGTACTTTGCAGTCAGTGTGGGATTACCTTCAGGGGTGACCTTTATCGACTCTCGAGCTATATTGATAGCTTCCTCTAGATCTTCAATTGCCCCTTTGCGTAGATAACGCGCTCCTAGCTGAGAAGCAAGACTGGCTAACCTGTCGCCCTTTTCTGCGCCTGGGAGATTATGCGGCGTAGCTTTGATAGCTTCTCGAGCTGTGTGAACCGACTCCTCAAGAGCACCTAGATCTGTGCCTGAATCATATTTGACTCTCAGCGATAAGGCCAAGCTGTGGTATCTTTGACCAAGGAGCCTGTCGCCCTGTGCTGTGAGTCTAATAGACTGCCTAATCGCATCGAGAGAATCGACTAGGTCCTTCATGTCTCCAATTCGCTTATATCGAAAACCAAGCTGGATGCTGAGATTGTGAAGCCTTCCAGGAAGCCCTTCATCGTCTTGTTGGGTGGCTTCAACTGCTCGCCTTGCCGTGGCAACAGCCGCTTGAACATCTGTCACTTGTCCGGTAAACGAATATTTGTCACCTAACGCGAGCGCGAGGTCATGCAACCTCCCTGGAAGAATCTGGGAGTCCCCAGGAGTCAAGTAAACAGACCGTGTCATTAGGGCAACAGCTTCGTCGATGTCCGACAGTTCTCCGATATGTAGAAATCTCTTACTGGACTGAGAGCCAAGGCTGTGTGACTGGTCTGCAAAGTCCGTGTAATTTTGTGACATAATTGCTATAGTCTTCTGTGTCAAGACAAGAGATCTTCTAAGATGCTGCATATTCTGAGTTTGTGCAAACCTCTCGGCCATCTGAGTGCTAAGGTTGCCGAGCCTTCCTATGTAGTCTGGGCGATCGGGAGGGGTGCCGTCAACAGCACTTGGAGCAGCTAACATATTTTCCTCCAGGGCTGCAACATCTCTGGTATGAAACAAGACTTCGTCTTGATCAATCGTCATGTTTTTTAGGATGGCGGGTTGATTCATGCCGTTTTCCGAGGAAGCCTTACTAGAGCTTCGTCAAGGTCTGCCAATACTCGTGCTTGCGACTCCTTTATCTATATTAATAACCCAGACAGCTTGGATAGATATCATAAATGGCCTGAAGACTTACTATCTAGCGTTTTTCTTCATCTCGGCAATAGCTGTTTTATACTATAATAAATAATAAGTGGGAAATATGTTAAAGACAACCCCGCATGGCTGAGGCGGCTGAAAATCGGGCAGCTCCTTTATCAACTCATAGAATCCAGTAGCGACTATACATTCACACTAGGCTTATCTTGGCCCGCCTGATTAGTTCGCTCTTGGGTAAGAACGGGAAAGTGGCTATACATAATAAATACGAGCTTCAGTAGGCATTGCTTTATAGATGTATTCTATCCCTGAATCGAAGCGATTATTTTCTATATTTGCAAATACTCTATACTGGGGAAATGGCGACAGGTCATAGCCTTATCCACATTTCTTTGTCTCATCCTTGATCTGCAACCGACCCGCACTACGCCTTTCCCTTGACAAGCCCATGTGCCTAAGCCCATTACAATCTCCCACAATATTGTAAAACTCCGATCACATCTTCCACAGAATGTCTTCTTCCACGGTAAATCCAGTTGTCTTTGAGTCCTACCCCGACCGGGGTTTTAAGGCGTATAGCGTCGTTTTGGGGGCATGGCTGGCTCTGTTTCCCGCTTCGGGGCTCCTCAACTCGACTGGTATCTTCCAAGCGTGGCTGCTCGTCAATCAGCTCGAGAAATATTCAGAGCCCCAAATCGCGTGGATATTCAGCACTTTCGCTTTTCTTTTCTTCTTTGGGGGCATTCAGGCAGGTACGCTCATCGCCTAAAGCATCCGAGTGACACAGAACCGTATCTTACATTTCTGAAGGTCCAATATTTGATAGGTATGGCCTCAAATACTTGTTCCCTACTGGGGCATGTGGTTTGGTCGTCTCGCTTATATGTACGAGCTTCTGTACAAGTAAGAAAGTCCCAATGCGAATAAGACAAGCCGAGTCCTTTGCTAATCTCATTCGATGAGAAGAATATTACCAGTTTATGCTTGCCTTTGGGTGTCTTGGAGGTCTCTCCTCTTCAATCATATGGACTACCAGTATCGCCACCCTTGGACAGTGGTTTATGCAAAATCGTGGACTGGCGACTGGCCTCGCAACAACTGCTGGTGGCATTGGAGGCTTATGCTATCCCCTTGCCTTTTCGCATCTCTCACGCCGCATCGGATTTCCCTGGACAATGCGATGCTTTGCGCTCATTACCCTCCTGTGTTTCTTAGCCAGCCTGCCCCTACTCAAGACACGGCTCCCGGCTAATCCGACCTCGCGGCTTGTTCTCGACTGGAAGGGCTTCAAAGACACTAGGTTCACACTTACAATGATGGCAATATTTATTTTGGACTGGGCTGTTTTGGTGCCCCCAGCATACATCACCACATACACCTCTTTCCACGAGCTTCATGACCTCTCTCCTAACATACTAGCGATTCTGAACTCGGCATCTACCTTGGGACGTTGTCTTCCTGGGATTGTTGCCGATAAGCTTGGCCGATTTAATGTCATGATCATTTGCGCAACTCTCTCCACCTTGTCAATCTTTTGTTTATGGCTTCATGCGAGGTCCAACGCTACTATTATCATTTCTTTCGCTGTGACCTACGGCTTTTTCAGTGGCACTGCTTTCAGCTTGACCCCAGTATGTGTAGCTCAGCTCTGCAAAACAGAGGAATATGCCACAAGGTATGGCACGGCCTATGGCGTAGTAAGCTTTGCCACACTGGCTGGAGTACCCATCTCAGGGTTCATCCTAGGCACAAGTGATGGGAACCACTACACTGCCTTAGTTCTGTTCTGTGGCGCAGCGTATGCAGTCTCGGCTCTTCTTTTCATCTTTGCCAAGGGTATTAGTCAGGATTGGAGGCTCTTGTCTATATTCTAGTTCTTATTGACAGCTACCCGCTCAGACTGTCCTGTTAGGGATGCGATCTCGGAGCCGCGAAGTGTCATAATACTGCCAGTTTAAGCCTAGAATACTCAAATTCATAGACTACTAAAACTAGGTCATGCTCATGATAGTATCAACACAGACAGCTCGCCAGGTTTCTTTATATTCTCAACAGAAAGCTAGGACATAAAACATAAATAACAATTGTCCCTTGCCCGTCTCAAGCATCAGGTTTCTTTCCATAGATAGAACATCTGACAATAGTTAGTTCCTGACAATTGCTTCTATTGAGGACACTCACATGGGATTATAAGCATGAACGCTCGGATTATTCAGATCCTTCCGCACATCAACAAGGAACGTAATAACCTCTTCCCGCGACCATCCGTGAGCCCTCGAAAATGACGCCATGGTCAACGACTCCAAAGCGTTCGAAGCGTTGTAATTATTCCATGTTCCCAACTCTTTATACTTCTTATCCCGAGGCCACGGATTGGTGGGCCACTTAAATCTTTTGTCGACTATATCGACAAAGCCGACTTCTTGCATAATAGCCTTTATCTCGTCGAATTCGATGGAGGTACTTCCAAGCTTAGTAAAAGCTTCCCCGAGAAGGCTACACCATCTGGAGAGGGCGTGATCCGGGGTAAGAGTGCCGTCCTCGGAGAGAATAATACCTCCAGTTTCTTGAATCTCCACATAGCCACCAGGCTTAAGATTGCTACACAGGTCAGTATCATCGGTGAGAGTGGAAGTTGAAGACATGCTTGAAGATCTTGCGGATATAGTCCTCCCAGCTCTTGATACTAAATACCATCATTCTGCTATGGATATAGTCGAATGTCTGGCTGTATTCCCAATCTTCTTCAATGTCGTCAATAATAAAACGAAGGTTTGGCGGAACACTGGAGATGTTAGCGGGAAAAGTACAGGATAACCCTGGGTTTACTCACAAAGCTGGTTGAATTGGTGAGAGATCAACCCCAATGACCTATGCAGTTAGTAGAGACTCTCGTGGGACTTAGAGGATAGGGCATCTACCTCAGCTTCTGGATGCTCATCTGCGTAGTCAATGGCCCATATCCCGGTTCCCGTTCCTATGTCAAGTACGTGTGCAATCTTTGCGCCTGAGTCATTGGGCGGAGCAAGACCAAGTTTGTCTCCGAATGTTAGGAGGAAAAGGTTATGCTGAAGGTCTGGTCTGTCAGTATCATGCTTGAACCTAGTCGTGCTAGTATACCTAGACGCTCATTCTCGATCTGGTCATTCGGGAGATGATATTCTAGAAAGGCTGTTAAAACTTCAAAGTCGGCAGTGAATGGTGATAATGCTTCTTACTTCCGTCTCTGTAGCCGTGGTAAGTTCTACCGTTCTCATGGCGATAGTTCAAAATGGAGCTTGAGATGCTCGTTGTTGATGAGGTGGCATCCTATCACTTGTCAGCCAAGTCTCTTCGTATAGATCAGTGAGAAGCGCACTGTCCCAATTGACGAGTCGGCATCATCGGTGATCTAGGACTGTTCAGCAGGAGACTTCTGTGGATTGAGACATGTATAACCTGCTCATCTGGATGAAGAACGTGGTCTGCGTCTACAGTCGACATACTGGTGGTGATGGCCTCAAAAGCGCTCAATGAGGGGGTGACTGAAGATGGAGGAATCCGCAGGTTAAAATGGCTGATGGTTGCGGAGGCAGCATGCACACTCTGTTAAGCGAATTTTCGAGGCTAAATATGAGTGGCTCTGTCGATTTGACAGTAACCAACATGCAGATGCGTACGTGGCTACGACATGGGTCAGTGATCTGATATGGTCTGCTCAATACTGCCCCTCATCTCGGCTTCCGGGGGGTAATCGATCTGCCGCCTCGCTTCAAGGATCTATTCAGGATCTTATCGACTACATAAAAGAAAAATGGTCTTCCATGATTGGCATTGCTGATTGAGAGCTGAAATCAGCAGGCAGAACTGAGAAGAAACCCACACTAATCCCAAACTCGAGATGGAATGAACTGTAGGGTACGTGGCCGTGAGTGGCTCTCTGCGCAAAAGGGTCCGCATGTAATTTTGAACCAAGATACCTAAGCAATAGTAAACTCACTACTGCTACCCGTAAACGCATTAATCTTACCCGTAATAGGAGTCTTGCTATCACCATAATAGCTCAACCTGTACGTCCCAGCACTGATATCCTTGGCATCCTGCCATCCCGTCTCCCAGGTAATAGCAACCTCACTAGACCCAAGCAACCCATCAAGCCTCGTCCACTCAAACACAAGATCCCAATCTTCGTCAGTCCGAACCTGAACCCACTTCGAGCCGTCCTTCTTCTCAACTGCCGCATAAGTATCCTCAAGGTGAAGGTTGTTGCGAGGGTTGGCTCCCACAAAAGTAGCAGTGATGGTATCGCCAACTGCATACTTTGACTTGCCAACGTCTTCGATGATATCGCCGAATTTTGTGCCGATCTTGGGATTATCCCAAACTACGCCTGTGGTGAGAGAGATGGAGTTGTCTCGATTGTCAGGTGCAGATGGACCAGTCGGTGGCTTTGAGGCGCCCTTTTCCTGGAGGAGGTATCCGAGATAGCTCGTAGTAAGGTTGATGTAGGCGTCCAGACTATGCCTGCCGTGGACAGTTGAGCCACCTTCGTAGCGCTGTACATCATACTCTTCAGGCGTGGTGCAGTAATGCGCGTATGTATTACCAGGCCCACCAGCGACAACAATTGGATCACCTTCAACACCACCTCTATCCTCTATCTCATCACTGATACTCTTGCGCCAACGTCGCGAAGACATCGTCGTAAGTTCAGGTGCTGAAACAATGATGAAGAAATTACCGACACGAAGCATCTGGATATCGACGATATTGGGAGCCCAAGCATAAGGCAGTGTAATCTCACCAGCATCAATGAGAATCGGCTTGGGTGACTGACACGCGACTTGCTCCTTGGTAGGGTTGCGCAAAAACTTTGATACAAGAGCCCAGAAAGGACTAGCATCAGGTTCACCTGAATCACCCTGCTTGAAGTCGAAATATCCAGGGCCGTCGGTAGTTCCAGCGGCAAACGAGTATCCAAAGGCTGCTGCACATGTCTTGGCTGATGTGCCATTAGGAAGTTGAAAGGCGAAGTCGGAAAAGTCCTGGAAGGCGTGATATCCGAGAACACTCTTTCCAGTAACGGGAACACCATCTCCGTCTTGCATCTGACCATATAGTTTATCCGCCTGCTTGAAGACGCGACGACCGATTTCCCAGCATGACTTGGTGCCTCCGTCATTCAAGCCCCAGAAAGGTCCTCTTCCATGACAAGTTTCAATTTTGCCACCACAAGTTGCATCCTTAAAGTCACACTGCTGTCCTGAACCATCTTCACACCAGGCTCCTTCTACATTTGGGGTAGTGTCTGCGACAGCCGCTTGAGAGAATCCAGCCACAAAGTCATCAGTCGCTCCATTAGTTCCACGTACAGCTTGCTCCAACAGATATGCACTAACGCCCTTATTATCGCCAGCAACAAGGGTATTGTTCATGTAAAGACTTGTACCATGAACCGAGAACCAAGTCAAGACACCAGTGACTTTATGGTCTGAGTCGCGAGTGAATTTGAGCATGGTCAATTCCTTGTCGACCTCATCCTGGTACTTATCACGCTCAGACTTTGGATTGGCCTGATACGCATAAAGACTTCGGTTGATGTTGACGTCTTCGATGCGAATCTTGCCTACGCTGAGACGGCCCTTGGCAAGGTTCTCGTGTGCCCGCTTGACGGACAGAACTGCACCGTCAACAATGGCCTGGTAAGCCTGCTTATTGAATCCTAGAGCGGAGATTTGGGGCATGAGGTAGTTATTCCAACCTGCTGGTCCAGCGTGTGAATGTGTTCCGGTGACAGCGACATTATCAGTCGTGTAGACGGAATACTCTGATCCAAGAGCCGCAATGCCTTCCAGAATACCTCTGCGAATAGCAGTATCGCCAGACTGGGTATCCAACACCAAGTACACAAATCGCTCTTCGGGCTCATCTGGATTGCCAACGATGAAAGCGCGAGAGTAGAGTCGCTGACGCAAGCCTGTTCCTATCTGCCCGAGGTCGGCATATCCCATGAGATTAAGCTCGACGACAGGACCAGTCACGTCAGCTTTGCCGACGCCGAGCAAATAGACATCGCCAGACTCATCAGCTCGCTTGGAGTTATCGTTGGAAGTATCCTCAGATGAAGGCACGGCGAGGCATGATACTGTCTGGAATAGGAAGGTGGTGAAGCTCAGGTATAACAGGAGCACATATGAAAGATTGCGATAAGTTGCGGTGAACATCATGACCACGATAAAATTGGGTCAACGAATGTTTTGGCTCAGAAAATCATGTTCAAAAAATATGTGATGGCCTCGGGTATTTATAGCATTTGCTCTGAGTTCGGTGGCGGTTTAAAGTGATGCGATAAGTGGCCACACTGAGCGTTGCATACTTTGTGGCTATCACGTTCACAAAGTCAAGAAACTTACACATTTTTAATTATTTTCAGAGCGTTATATATACCAGAACCGAGGTAATTACCAAAACGAGCCAAGAATATGCATCTCTGCCCCTCTGACGATATCTCGCATACGGAAATCCTACCGATTCGAGATATCAGCCATTTAACCGATCGCGTGTGGGTTGCAGTGCATGTTCTCTTTTAAGGAGATAGCCCGGCACAAGGCACTTCACGTGGCAACCATCAGTGCGAGAATCAAGGCACGAGAGACATCCCCGCATCTCCAAGTACCGAATTGTTATGAGATTGTGGTCGAGATAGGAAGCTGGATCTTTTGTTGGGATGGTGGGTGAGTGCTACTATAGGTCACGCGAAGGTTCTTATCAGGAATAGGTTGATAACAGCGCATACATATTGATCTAATCTGGGGATTATCTTTGTGGCAGACTAACTATGCATTCTCGCCTTCTGCTATCCTGCTCATTTCTGCTCGTCCAATTGTTCCGTAGCGCTGTGAGTTGAAAATCCAGCGAATAATTGTCTCTGTAGCTTGAAACATCTCCCGCTGGCTCTCTTCCAGTTCTGGTGCTTGTACCGCGCTCATGTTCGATAGATCAACCGGTCCTTGTTCAAGGCTCATATTAGCCATCTGCGCTTGCATAGCCCATCCATCATCTCGCAGCTGTAAGATATCCTCATGCCGCTTCCTCAGTGCCTCTCCTCGAGCAAGTGCTTCCTCCGGATAGTCCGGAATAGACTCCAATTCATTTATCACACTTCGCATATCCTCCAGCATAGAATCCGGCACCGTCTCGCTCCAACCTTCAATAGCTACTTCATAGCAGCCCAGCGCGAGATTAATCGGCGATCCATCGCCAAAATATCGCTGCGCAGGGCCAAAGTTTTGACGGAATCTGATATTAGGATCAGCGCCGCTACGGAGAAGCTTTCCGACAAGGAAATGATTCTGGAACAAAGCGGCGCGGCATAAAGCGGTGCCAAACTTTGGATGATCAAAGTTTATGCATTCTTTGGTCGCAAAGGGCGAGTTTTCTGAGAGCATGCATTGCACTTGCGCCATGTAGATCTCTGCTTCGACGACGTTCTTACGAGCTGGTGGTGAGGTAGCAAGGATAGTCCATGCGCTTTGTTGTTCGGCAGGATCATCGATGTGATCCACGATAAAGTCAAACTGCTCATTGTGACGTAGAATAGACACTTGATCAGCTGTTGTGTCGCTTGATGTTAGCAGAGATCGGAGGATGGACAGTGATGTCTCTGTTCTTTGCTCAAGTAGCTCCTTGAAGATGGAAATCTTCGGAAGGTCGGGTCCCAATTGATAAGGGCTGCTAATTCGCGCTCCATGCTGGATGAGGAGATTTGCTAGGTCGAGGTATCCATGTAAGATGGCTTCAACAATAGGCGGTCGAGTTCCTGCCGGATGATCCGTAATTGAAACTCCGGACGCTATGAGCTCTTCCGCTATGACAATTCCAGGTGGAGATGAAGCCGGTCTCGCAGCCAGGTCATGAAGTAGAGTCCGTGGCCATTCAGGGTAACTTTCGATCTCACAGCCGTAATCTCTCAACAGTCGGAATACTTTGTCATCGTTAAGTATGATCGCTTCGCGCATGGGTCGATGATCAGGCGAGCCATTTGGATTGTGGCCCAATTTTAGTAACGCTTCCACGATGTCACGATTCCCAAGTCGAATCTGCATGCACAAGGCTTCCCCTGACGATCCATTAGAAGAAGCGGTGCCCAGTAGTTCTCTCTGCTCCTTGAAAATGGAGAGAGTTTCCTCGACATCAGAGCGATATCTCGGGCCGTTTCTGATGAGTCGGCTAAGCAAAGAAAACGTATCTCTGTTGCCAGCCTTTTGCTCTTGAGTCGCCTTCAGAAGAGTAAGATCGTCAAATCCATTAAACAATCCTGAGATTTTGGATTCATCATGATCTTGATACAAGAACAGTCGAAGGAAATTCGGCAGTGCTAGCATGGCGGCAAGCTGGATAGGTGACTTTCCGTCAACTTGGATCAGGGGGTCAGCTCCAAGTGCGATGAGGACTTGAGCGGCATGGATATTCTGGAAGAGAACACATCTCCCGAGAGGTGTCGTCTGGATAGACATAGTTCCCTCCCAGTCGGCGTGCGCTTTAAGGACTTCAGCTCTCATACCACCCGATGCAGCATCGATCAGGCCTCCAGCGTTGAGCAGGCCTCTCGCCATTGGCATCATCTCGTCTTTCTCAAATCTCCAGAGCCAGTGGAGAGGGGTATCTTGACCCAAAGGATGTCCTTTTGGATTGGCGCCGTGTCGAAGTAGAGCTAGAGAAGCCTCCAAATGAGCATTTCGACAAGCACAGACTAACGGTGTTTCTTCGCAGTCTTGGTTTGGGAGATCAATGTTTAGTCTGAACGTGTTGATGAGATGTTCAATTGTATTGGCTTGTCCACGGGCTGCTGCCATGTGCAGAACTCCATGTCCACGGCTGTTGACAAAGATCTTGTCAAAGGGAGTCACTTGCTGAGTATCTTGACTTGTTGTCTGTGACCTCTTCAGTGACTGCTCGTAGAGCTCCCCAAGCTCCTCTTTGAGTTCCTCCTGAAGTTTCTGCACATTGTCGACTTCAAATTCCTTCCTTAAATGTCGAGGCAAGAATGCCAGCGAACCGGGAACACCACTGAAGTAATTGGCAAGCCTCCTTGCGTTCTGATATGTTTCAGTTGCGTTCTGTCTCTGCTCATCACTCAACAGGGGCAAGGCGTCTTCGAGATCTTGACCAGCCTGCCATCCTCCACGAAGAGTAGCCCACTGTAGACTGGACGGAAACACGGCTAACAGCTCAGGTGGTGTTTGTCTCAGGGCCTGGCTCACGCGCCATACACACGATGCAGCGAGATACTCGAACCCGCTTGAGTCATCAGATCCGGTCACTGCGTCGCTCGCCGCTCTCCGAAGCGCTGTGCACGCCTTTCCAGGGTCGAGGGATGTGCCAAACTCAGCAATGTGGCATCTGAAGAGGAACCAAGCTGCAAAGAGCTTATGAAGCTCCACGTCACGGCTATGATCACCAGATTCGGAAATAGCTTGAAGCGCTTCGAGAATATGTTCCTGCTGTTGCCATGACAGGATGTTCTTCAGTTTCTCGGGCTCGAAGACGAAACCTGGGTTTATTGGGGCCTTGACTATGGGCCGAAAGCCGGGACTGTGACAAATATCAGTAGAGGTAGGTCTGCTGGTTTTGGTATCTCTCACGTGTTGTTCTGGGGATCATAAGTAGCCCCAACTGTGCCTAAGAATAGTCCAGCACCATCTGCACTAATTCCATGTTTTCCCTAACAAGATATTAGTCCAGCCTCTGGTATATCCGCCGCCTCATGTCCCAGGCTGGGAAGAGGAAGTTGCCTGAGGGAAGGTCACTCACTGGAGGTTCGTTATCTTCAACTTCCTTCCACTTGCGATTCATTTGGTCGACATTACTGAGGTAATCGTCGATCTCGGTAAGCCTAGTGGAACACACATCGTTAGTATCATCATGGTAGTAATGTCAATAGCCTTGACGTACGGAACGCCCCTCAGAGCAGCCTGTGCCCTTGCCAAAGACCTGTCTCCGAGGCTCTTCTGTATCGTCTGTTCGAGAACATATAAAACCATCTCCGTACAATCTTGGTTCATCTCACGCATATCAAAGTAATCCTGAATCATAGATGTCGCCCTGTGCAGAAGCCGTCCCGACCGCTTCAATTGTGCCAGCGTCACCGATGAACCCGACGCCTCCCGCCGAGGACTAAACTCATAATGTAGATTGGCCAAATCGCCATCTGCAAAGGTTTCACAAACAAGTAACCCAAAAGAGTAGACATCGCATAGCTTCGCAGCCTCCGCTGTCACTATGCCGTCGGTTTCCGGAGCCGCGTATCTCGGTGTCTTGCAGATGAAGCGATAAGAGTCATACTTTTCAGAACCATAGACAGCGCCTCCAAAGTCAGCCAGTTTCGCTATATAAGCCCCATTGCTAGATTTGTCTGCGAATATCAGTACATTCTGACGCTTGATGTCCCCGTGGATAATGCTGCATGCGTGAATAATCGAGAGGCCTTTCCCCGCATCATACAGCAATTTCTGCTTAACAGCGAACGAAAGTGGCGACTTCGAGTTACTCTGAAGATTCTCTAATGTTCCATGCTCTGCATGCTCGATGACTAGTTGAGGATAAACGCTTCCGGATGCTCCGTTGGGTCCCCAGCACAAGCCGACGAGGCGCACGATGTTAGGATGATAGCGAAGGGTCTCGTGGAGAAGAGCGCGAATTTCGAGCAATACGTGATCCCAGCCTGCTTTGGGTAGATCATCAGATTGAGAATGGATCCGAACTGTTTTCAAAGCCACGACGCGCTTTTGACGGATGACTGCGGGAGCGGAGCTGCTTGTCTGAGGGTTTGGGATTGCGATGGCTCGTTCCACTGAAAAGGTTGCCCCGCGATCGATGAACGATCGCTCAGTGAAGCCCTGGATATACTCATCGATGAAAACAGTTTCTGTGTTTCGTCCCTTCTTTTCCAAGGATGAGACATGGGCTAGGAAGGTTGGAAATCTGTTTTCGTTCCGGTTAAGCTGCTCTTTGACTTGCTCCTCCACAAGCTGGAGGTGTACACTGCTCGCCGGCAGTGTCGAGGGAGCTTGCCATAGGATCTGGCTGAAAGGGTCTATGATGGTTTCCATCTTCAGTGTTTGACGCAATGAAGCGTTCAGGATGCGAAAAGACTAAAGTTGAGGACGGAATCTGCCTTGAGTCCGTTATGTCTCAGACGCTGCGCCTGCATAGTGTGATGACGCTCATGCTGTGATTGTGATTGGCTACCCTAAGCCACCCAAGTTCAGCTCAGCCCAGCCCATTCAGTTCTAGGCCTGGTTGATACTGCATTGCCACGTAACACCGTGAAATCAGGCTGCACTGGTCATGGTTTGAATAAAATTGCCTCATACGACTTGATATCAATCAAACAAACACTGCATACATCGGATCTAACGGCCAACGAGACCCTAAGCCAGCCAACCAAGCATCAATGTCCTAGCTAGCTCGCACCATTAGCCTAGCCACGACCCAAACTGCAACCAGATACAATGCTGGATCCAGGTTCAATCATCGCCCTCACACAAATTACATACGAAGGCGCCAAACGAGCAGTCGACCTCGTTCTCACAGCGATACACTTTCCCAAAGAGTGCGAGGAATTATTCGTGCAGCTGAAGCTCGAGCAGTTCCGTCTGCAGTGCTGGGGTCGAAGTGCGGGGTTGGAGCAAGGCAGACTCATCGAGGCTCTACACCCAATCTTCCCAGAGATACGAAACGCGCTTGACTGCATAAGCGCTCTTTTCCAGGACTTGAATAAGCTACAGGCCAAGTTTGGTATCGTGTCGACGTCTGCGGAGGATGTAGGCCAGAGACAAAAGGAACTGGCGTACAAGTGGAATGAAGAACTTCATAAACAGGGCCTGGCACTTTCGGGTACACAAGTTGAAGACGGGGCGCCGTCCTTGATCTCGAAAGAACAGAAGGCTTTCTTCCCGGTCGGGACCTTCAAGGTCAATCTACCAGCTCGACTACGATGGGCATTAGGAAACAAGTCCAAGTTTCGCGATTGCGTGGCCGAGCTGGAGAGGTACACCAACAAACTGAACCAACTGTTACCAGAGCGACAGAGTCTCCAGTATAAACAAGACTGGACAAGAGTCAACATCATAATCGTCGGAAAAGCCGACGACGAGAACACCGTTTCCCTCCTACGAAATGCCCTTGAGGGAAGTCCGGCGATGGAAGCATCACTCCGTGGCCTGGTGGATAGAAAGTCAGTTGCTGCAGCTCCCAGTACGACAAATTTCCTACGAGGCAACCCCCAGCTAAACATGAAAGATTTTGCGATGCGCCCAGGAACCTTGGACAAGGACAGATTCATCACTACAAGTAAAATTACTAAGCAGCTGGTTGTTTTTGAGAAGAAATCATGGGACGATGAACGTTCCATGGCCAACCGCTCGAAGCTCCAAATGCGACTTAGCAGACTAGTTGCGATGCTCCGCCCAGGCAGAAGTGACTGCATCTTAAAGGCCATCGGCTTCGCAGAAGATGAAGTTACTAAATGCTGGTGGATCGTATATGAAATGCCCTCATTCATATCACTAAATCCTAACCTTCGTCCTGTGACGCTCCACGAGCGGCTGGGACGTCAATCTTTTCATCTGGCTCCCCTCGAAGTCCGGATGAAAATCGCCTTCTCCCTTGCATCAGCATATTCAGAGCTGTTCAGTAGTGGATGGGTTCACAAGGCTATCAGCAGCCACAGCATCGTGTACTTTGGTCCTTATACCGATTTGCTACGTCCGTCTGTCGTTGGCTTTGAGTTTTCACGTCAGGATACCGAAGAGTCAAACATTGATGCCGCCAAAACGCCAGCACAGGTTGAACGAAGCATTTATCGACATCCAGATTACATCGGTAGTGAGGCAAAGAGATACATGACGCAATATGACATTTACTCGTTCGGGCTCGTGCTGATAGAGATTGCTTTCTGGCAGCCATTGAAAGATGTCTATCCGCATGCCAAAGGCGAGACATTCGGGAAAGAAGAGGCGAAGAATGTGCAGAAGTGGGCTGCTCACGTTGCAGACACACAGTTTGCATTCAGAGTTGGTACTGCGTATGCTAACGCTGTGAGCTGGTGTCTCAAGAGCGGTGCGAAAGTCAGCAAGGATCAAGAGGACTGGCATCCAGCTTTGGCGTTCAATGATCATGTCGTTGTTCCACTTTCTGGAACCTAAGTTGGCCTGATCCAACAAACACTCTACGAAAGGAGGGATAGTCTCGACATGTCATAGCTATGCTCGAACTAGCCCACACAGCACCTCCGTAGCCCAATAACAAATACCAACGCTCTATAGCCCCTAGATATATAGCTATTCTGACGTGATTATGTCCTAATCCATTTGAATAACAATGTGCACCAGCGTTTTATGCACATATTGTTTCCAAGTGGCTCATCGCCATGCAGGGTATGCTGTGGGTGCCTGATTGAAAGCCTTGTTGGGACTTGATCGTGGACTAACCAGGCTAGCCAGGATATGATTATGCAGTAAGCTTGGGTGTTGGCCGGAAACTCAGCCAGGGCCATTCACCGCCATGGTGGCGCTGCTTGGTGTTGCCAAGGGTCCTTATGCAAGCCTCGTGGGAGCCTCGCCGCCTCACTGGAATTTAATAGCTTGAACTGTCATGTAATTGTAATTGTACTTACTAGGCAACATCGCATAAAATCTTGTCGTTCCTGTTCTCATTTTGACTAAACCGAATGCCACTCCCAGGGGTTTTAAATCAATATCTAGCGCTGCTTTCTTGATCATAAACACGTCAATCTCAACTCCCGCCATTCTCCTCATTTATTTATTCCAGTCGTTATTCAAGAACGATTACTCGGATCTTTATTAAGCTGATAGGATATACCACCAACATGGAAGTGAGTATTTCAATGACCTTCATTTTCTGTATTTCGATTTAACAACGCGCAGAGCGAGCCGGTCGCTGGTGATCATGGGCAGAAGTTTTGTGATATCTGTAAGAATATTCGGTTCCCATTAGGACCCGATTTTCAAAGACATATCAATAGGTATTTGGAGCTCGCATCACGCGCCACTCGTTGCGCTCTATGTAGTCTTGTGCGCAAAGGCCTGCAAAGGGAATTTCTCGCTACATCCGCTGCGGTAATGGATCAGTACGATGCAGATCGCCTTGATAGAGAAATATCCAGCAGTGTGCTTTTCAACAATCCCTTCGTGTTAGGGATCCCAGGTTGGGTCGCTCTAAGAGGCCGGAAGGACTCGGTAAATTACATCGATGTTTACGTATCACCAAGGGCATATTGTGTGTTGCAAGTGTCTCCCGATATTGGTAAATTACGAGTTGTTCATGAAAGCGAAGACAGTCAACATTAACATGTGATCAGATTCCGAGTCAATGAGAGACCTTGCTCCATGTCGATTACCGCTTTTAACAAATATACACAGTCTTGGTTCTCCAAGGCTTGACCTCTCCTGCGGACCTTCAGAGATCTATTTCGCCAAAATGCTTCTCTGGGAAGATGTGCATACCCGTGGTGCGGCAATAAATACCCTGCCCTCTCGTGTGATAGATGTGGGAGAGGGGGATAATACATGGCATGCTTTAAACCCGAAACCAATTCGACTACTTGAACCGAGCAGAGGAACTTCTGGCATTTACATGACTTTGAGCCATCGTTGGAGCTTAACAAGCCACATCACGACTACTAGCAATAACATCGGAGACCATCGAAAAGACATTCCATGGCAAAAGCTTTCACGTACCTTCCGAGAGGCTATTGTCATATGCCGAGAGATGGGTGTGCGATACTTGTGGATTGACTCACTCTGCATTGTACAGGATGACGCAGCTGATTGGCAGCGTGAGTCAAGGCTTATGGGAAACGTCTATCGCAACTCTGTTTGCACTATCGCATGCCATATTAGGGATAATCAGAATGAAGGGTTTCTGCAAAAGGCTTTCCGCAAAAACATGGTCCTTTTTCGCGGAGAAAAAGAACGGACTTTTGGGCTCTCATTGCCTAGCCAGTTTTCCCGGACTATAGTGCATGATAGCGCAATCAACGGGCGAGGATGGGTTCTCCAGGAGCGTTGGCTTTCGAGGCGAATTCTTCATTTTCTTCCATCACAGATTTACTTTGAAACCGAGTTTAATCGGGTCATCTCCCTGGAAACGAAGAGATATGAGTTTCTTGAAGGTACCCCGGGACTTGGACCCAAAATCATTACGAAACCATACCCTATGAAGAATATCGGAGAATGGCATCAAATTGTCGAATGGTATTCTCGGTGCGCTTTAACCAGACCAACGGACAAACTCCCAGCACTGGCTGGCATAGCATCGATTATACAACGTCGACTTTCAGACGATTATCTTGCTGGCCTGTGGGGATTTACCTTGACTGAGGATTTATGCTGGGTGGTAGCTGATGGAACTGAGACTAAGAGGCCTGGAACACCTCGTGCGCCAAGCTGGTCATGGGCATCATTAGATGGAGCTGTCATCTACATTGTTCCCAGCAGGTCTACAGTAGGAAGGAATGCTGCCAAATTTGGGCTTCAACTGGGTGAAGATTTATCAAATTCGGCTTTCAGCGACTCGTCTCGGGGGCAACTTCGTCGTGTTTCGGACAAAAGAGGTCAGGCGACACCTAGCTGGATCGAACAGCCGGTGGCTTTGAACTTCATAGGTATTCCACAAAGGCTACCCCAAATTGGAAAGCTTCGCCAAGACTTAACTACGCCAAAGCATTCGTTGGCCTTCATGGGTACAGAACCCTTCTCCAAGATCCGTTCGACTTCCTACAGACCAGTCATACTAGGAGGGCATACTGTAGGTGTTGCTATACTTGACTTCGAGAATGGGCATCGAGACGAGCGACAAACGCTTTGGTATTTTGAGTTAAGTACCAATCAGATTGGCTATTGCGTGCTCATTGTTTCAAAGAGCTCTGAAGAGCCATTTGTTTATAGAAGAGAAGGACTGGGCTTTCTCATTTCTATAGCAACGACAGAAAATTGCAGTAGGAATTATTTATTGGATAATTTACATAATCTAGAGGGTAAAAAGCAGGAAGAAGTTATATTGATATAAATCTCTATATCTATGGTTTTTCAAACAACGTTTCTCTTTACTATATCAATATAACTATTATTTTTCAAGGCAGCAATTGCGCCACCTAGGCAGATAAACCTTCACTGATATTAAGTTTTGAGATACTGGCCTGCTATAGGGATATTACTGTTTAAGCCTGGAATGAAAGTTCAAAGCTCGATGGCCTTATAAGGCTAACGAGAAGGAAATGTTTTTATTTTATTTAAAAGGACTCCGAATTAGCTTTCCAATGTTCTGCGGGGATAGGTAAAGACAGATAGCCGACCTATTGCTTTAGCAACCACAACCATCACAATCGCAGCATCCGTCATCATCGTCATCTTTCTTTTCCCCGTCTCTATTGCCGTTTGTCTTCACCATTGGCTCTTGCGATTGATATTGGTGCTCATACGTCGCTCCAACGACCCCGACTGTCGCGCCTACGGAGCCATACAAGGCTGTCCGCATGTAAAACTGAAACGCCTTAATATTTTCATCTGCAGGGACAAGCTGTAACTCATGATACGGTGTTTGAAGGTTCTTCTCGAACCACCAGAAATCAAGAGCGCAGTCATCAGGCTGCTTGATGATGCGCTTTGCAAATTGCCGTAAGAAACTCTGACAGTCGTTGAAACCGAGGACATATACGCCAAACGAGTTGTGAGCGGCTTCGCATTCCTCATCAACTCTCTGTTCCGACAACTTGGTCCAGCCGATCTGGCATATGTAGTAGTCCTGAGCATACGGCTTGCCCTCGCTGTCAAGGCTCTCTTGTCGAAGCCGCATCATCTCTTCTTGCATCGACCACGGCGCTATGTTACTCTCGTAGTCAATGGATGGTACCAAAGACCCGACAAGATGTCCTTTTGGCAAGCTCTTGAACTTCTGTCTCGAGGGAAGTCTCAGTTCGTATTTCATGCCGTACACGAACAGCGCCCAGTGGTACAAATGGCCGTCTTTGATCCGACGAGAGAACCACACATTTTCACCTCTACTTTTGTCCTGCTCCTGCGCCTTGCGTCGCTCGACTTCTTCCTCGAGCCTTTTCTTGTGTGCCTCATCTTTGGCGAGGGCCCTGGCCTCGAGAGTATGTATGACAGTCATGACGAATAGCGATGGCGACTATCGAGAGTTGAATCATTCCATGAGAGTCTTTCGGACATAAATGGCAATACCATGACCCAGTGCGCAGCGAGACAATGATCTAGTAGGCGTGCATTGCACATGCGTCTTCGTAAGTGATGTCCCAGCATGCTTACATTTGCCATTGCGGCACAGCTGGTAGATCAGCGGCGGATGTGACCGTTTCTAGGTACTCCGTAGCCAAAGTGCTTATGAACCCCCTGCTCTAGCATAACGCCAACTAATCAGCTCGTCGAAATGACTTTGTAAGCTGCACAGTGACGTTATGTTCCTTCGTCATGAACACCAAGACGCCATCTTTGCTTTGTCAATTGGCCATGCGACAAGCAAGATTTAGCAACCCTTACCCTTTTCTTCCACTAATAGTCGTAACATGGCTGCCTCAACCTTTCACAGCAAGGGACTACCATGACGTCAGCAGTCAGCGCCTGCATTGTGATCTTTCGGTTGACCGGTCGCACGTTTATTCCTCCTGTTCTTCGTACGATCAACGCGAACGAACCGATGATGGACTAAACCTGAAGCCACTATCTATTTCATCGGTTAACAATGCACGGAATCTCGCGACAGCAGACACTGACGACGGGTAGACCAGTCCCATTCGATGAATCCGTATCACTATTTCACATTCCCAACGGAAGGAGTAAAATTGAATAGTCCAATCCAGGCACTCTTGTTCTACCAGCCGTTTACACAAACAGAGGGAAGCTTCATCGACTTGGCTTCGACTATGGTGTTAAGTCATACCTACACGTCCAGCTAGACGTTTCCAGACTGAATGAGATCCACAACCACCTTTGGATGGTTGGCAAGCCGATGCCTGGGCGACCTCTACATCAACATCACGTTTACGGCCGGAAGATTGTATGTGCTGAGCAAGCGGACCTTCACCTGCTCTGGGATGACTACCGGCTGTTTGTTAAGCCATGTCCAGATTATTTACTGTCATTTGACTTTTGGAAGCGTTATCTGTGTTGTGGCGACGATAGCCTATGGACAACTGCTGCCGGTATGGTCCAGTCCTATACATGGCTGATTCAGGACAAGTCCGACTGGAAGGTTGCACAGGCAGAGGGAGTCCTTTCAGAGTCCATCACTTGGGAGCGCTGGACAGCCTTCGTCTCTTCCTTCACAGATCATCTTGAAGCATCAGATCTCGATGTCAATCCACGTTTCAAATATGGCAACCTCCGGCTCCCTCGGATTCAATGGATATGGCGTTTTTGCTCTCATACTGGAGGTGTACACGCCTTCGTCAATGGATATTTGAATCCTTACTCTAGTTACCGTCACTTCTTCAAGCAGATGGTAGCACCTATAACGGTCGCAACCGTCTATTTTGCGCTCATCTTGGCCGCGATGCAAGTCGGGCTGGCCACAACGATGTTGCAAGACAACGATGCATTCCAGAGCGCGTCGATGTGCTTTACTGTGTTGGCTATTGTTGGACCGATCGCGGCGGTTGCGGTGCTGGTAGCTGGGGTAATGGGCTATGTTTTCATGTGGAACCTTTGTCATGCGGTAAGGTTGAGAAGGATAGAAAAGTTACAATCCAAGATGGTAGGCAAACAGGACGTGTAGATATGAGATAAGTTATTATTTTAGCATAATGACAGTGGCTCTCTAGCGATTCTAGGACCAGTAAATGGAGTGGATACTGGAGGCATGGCAGCATTATTTGCGAACTCGGTAAAGCTTTAAGAGAAGTAGTTCATTAATAGGTAAGTGATTTAACTCGGTAGCTTGATACTTGTTTTGCTAACCCTAAGTTTACAGCCCTTATTATATCCTAGATTGTGTTAAATAAGGCAAATAGTGCTTAGGTCATAAGCATAATTTGTATGATCCTGTCCATAGACCTCTTGGAACTATATCGACCAGATCTGTCTGAAAACCAACGTAATACCGAATCTCGTCCGTATCCCAGGGTATAGGAATAATACTAAGGTGGTTCAAGAAGGGCTGGCCGCCGTTACGATAGTTGACTAAGCTTATCTGGGTCTCTCGCCTCTCCTTTATACTTTTCCTCAGACTGTACACAGCACCGCGATCCGTAAATGGCCTTCCTAAGGATCTGAAGACTTGGCCGTCTGGGGATTGCAGGAACCGACAGTTTCTACCAAGAACCTCGTGTCGACTATATCCCGTGAGATTTTGAAAGCTGTCAGAGACATAGACTATGGGGCAGTCTTCAAGCGTAATGTCACAGATGACAAAGGAACATGACATGTCGATACGGCCGATACTGAACTGAGGATCTTTCCGAGTCATGACCAGCAGAAGGGCCTTGAGGGCGTCAAACCCACTCGGACTATAGATGTCTTTCGATCCGGGCGTGGTCAAATTCTCAGAGGCTGTAGGTATTTGGGCCTTCGCTTTTTGATGCATGGACCTGAGGGAGACTTTGGGTGAAGAATTATTGTCCGCTGCCGGTTGGCCCACCTCGCTGTCCTGATTCATGGCTAGATCCGGGGCTTTTGAGCCAATTTGAGTGTTGGATGGACTTCCAGATTCTGAGTCTGAGTCTGTATCTACTGGTCCCAGCAACAAATCTTGCATCCACTTTGACATTCCTTCTTCATCCGTTGGCAAATCAGGATTGAGTGAATGGATACTAATCTGAGGAGGGGCTGGTTCACTACGGAGGTTCAGTTCAAAAGTCTTTGCCGGCCAAGAGGGATCGGCAACTACCCTTGTAAAGACTAGCAGGGGATCCCTGCCAAATTTATTAGTTATCCTCTATGAGCGATTTCTACACCGTTCTTCCCCTCTTTAACTTACGAAGACGATAGTGTATACAGATATTGCGACCCGGGCTTTAGTGGTGACGCTGAAGGCGCCCAACAGAGGAGCAAAAACTACTGCTTAGATCCAGCTGATCACAGGCCTTGCTGAACGTACGATTAACAAGATATATTCTTGTGCAATTAAGCGAGGCTTCGAGCCTAATGAGAGTCCTCTCTGACTTATTAACGCTTAGCTTGAAGATGCAGCTTGCTTAGGGCAGCCTTTAAAGAATACTGAAGAAAATCGTAGCCTTATTATTATTAAGGTTAGCACAGATCGATTTGGCAGGGAAAAAACACTTACTAATATCTCTGCTGACCTTAGCAGTTAGGGTATCGAGATTTTACTAACAACTATCAGGAGAATCCTTAAGAAAGCAGGATATAAGAAAACGAAGCCAATAAGGAAGCCTGGACTGACTGCAGTAATGAAGAAAGAACGCCTCGAATGGTATATTGCTTATAAAGATTAGAGCCTTAAAGATTAGAAAGCTATAATTTGGTTAGATGAGACTTCTATAGTGCTCCTTTATTGCTGCGACGGCTATTACATTTAGAGGTTACCTAAGGAGAGATTTCTTCGCAGCTGTATTTAAGAAAGGTAAAAAGGCTTTAGTAAGTTTATATTCTAGGGCGCCTTTTTGTATAATAAAAAAGGTCCTTATTATTACTAGTCTCTAGAGACCTTAAAAGAGAAGAAGGAAGCTGATAAGGCAATCGCGGCAATAAATACAGAGCTCGAGCTGGCTATAAAGGAGAAATAGAAGCTTAAGAATAGAATAAGAAGGCTAGGGCTTTATAACAAGTCAGGTAAGAAGCCTAAGTGGTCTTTTAAGAAGTTAACAGGCAAGCTAATAAGAGAGGGAAAAGGCGGTATTAACTGGTAGCAGTACAGAGTAAAAATCCTAATCCTAAGATTGCTTCCTTTTATAAAGGAATATAAGAAGGAAAGACTAAATACTCTTGTACAAGAAGATCAAGCTTTTAGTTATAAATACTATATATAGCAGCTTCTATATAACGCTAAGGGTATTAAGAGACTTCCTTAGTATTTAAATTCGCCAGATTTGAATGCTATTAAGCCTACCTGGCTATAGATAAAGAGGGTAATAATAAAAAAAGGCGCCCTAAAGAATAGAAAGGAAGCTATTTATAAGTAGGAGGCTGCGTAGAATAAGCTTCCGTAAGAAAAGATCTAGGCATAGATAGAGAGAATTCCTGTGCATATTTAAAAAATCATAGAATTAGAAGGTAGAAATAAGTACAAGGAAGGCAGGGATAAATAGGCGTAAAAATCAATATTTGCAGGTACTAGCTCTTTTGCCCCACTTAGTGCGATTTTAGCGTCGGCAAAGACTTTTGAACTGAACCTCCGTAAGTAATGCCACGTATTTCATTCCGGTGGATGGTACTGTGCTGCAGATGGCGTGAAGTTGGCGTGATGATGCTGTATCTGGTAACGCTTGTTGTGTATCAAGCTCTTCGCATTCTTCAAACAAAAGTTGAATCGGTGATCCAGGGAACGATTCTGGAGGTGAATCACAGAGTGACTCGGTATACTCGAGAAAACGATTCATTGCAAAATTGGCCTCTGTTCCATACCATTCGGAGCCTTTACACCCTGCAACGCTAGCCAACTCGATACGGTCGTTATCCAAGGTTTGCAATCTTAATTTTATGTCCTTGAACTCCTCTTTAAAGTCTGTTTCGAATTTTTTGGTACGTTCGTTCAATGATGCAATCGTAGAACTAAGCGTGCGGGAGTTAGAACGAAAGCAGAGATTCGCTCATGCGCTTTCACTGCCACGGCGTACTTACAATGTCATCGCGCTCAAAGCCATGTCTAAGGATACTTTATATGTCGTAATCGTATCTCTGAAAAGCTGGATCTCCTTGTCCTTGAATGCCCATGCCATTTGCTTCCAGACTCGGACTTGAATGGTCCCATTTCTTGAGGTCTGAGTGAATCCCTGTAGCAAGGTCGTGAACTCGTCGAATATGTTCAAGCAGTTCTCCAAGGGCGCTTTTAAGCTGGTGCAGAGGTCGACGTGACTAGACAACCTATCCTGGATATGTGTGACATGGGCAAGGATCTCATACAGTGCTCTCAAATCGGTCGACAGCGCGGCGATGTCCTTTGGGGCATTTTGAAGTGAGTCAATAAATTCGTAGAGTCGCTTGGAGCCGTGTAGCAGTGCTCCTACAATTCCGACGACACTCGCTGTCACAGAAAGCGGATCAGACATTGCAAAAGTGCTTGCTTACAGATTGGAAAAAATGCGGAGGATTGGCGGACAAGATTTACTCACCGTTTGTTATTTCTATTTTCAGCCGCAGATATCGATTGGTAGGTATTTACTTTACTAGAATAATATGCAGAATGACACGTAATTATCCTGCTTTCAATTGGCTGTTGGCCAAGACAGTCTCGTAGTCTGCCTTGTAGCGACCCAAAATGCGGCCTGGGAGCCTTGCTGGGAGCCTTGTTGGGCCTTGATGCATATGTGGCTGATTACAGGAATATCACAATCTTACGCTTAGTCCCCTCCATTTCCCTTTTTCTACCCCTCCCAAGTATTAACAAAATGGAAGTATTGAAATGTATGTCTTGTATTGATTAAAGAAAGAAGAGAAACGTATAGATAAGTAACTATTATATAAGATAATCTAGATAGATATAGGATCGGACTAATAATATTCCCGACTTTTAACACTCCTACTTAAGCCCGTGTTTATAAGGATTAAGAGTATAGGCCTGTAAAAACTAAAAAATACCTTTATAGGTAAAAAGATAATAAAAAAGGCTTCTACTTTAACTCCTACTTATTCTAATGTCTATACTTTATAATTTAATTATAAATTAATTTAACTATATATTTTATATTTTATATTTTAACTAGTAAGGAGTTAAATAATTAACTACTTATTATAATAATTTATAATAACTTTTATAGACCTATATTTTTATTTCCTACTAGTTATAAAGATATAGTCTAATGTAGATAATATATAGTTTAAAATAAAGCTTGGTTTTATATAATTCTAGTAGTATTATTTATTAG